GTCATTACGAAATATTTACTTTTGTGTTGTCATCTAATGCTATAATCGAAAAAGTTTCCCAACTTGGCCTATATTGCATAATGTCTAATACATCCTATCTTATACGAATTTAATGTTCAGTTAACAGTAATCTCAAAGTGCATTATTAACGAATCGGTAACAAACTTAAACCCGGGGTCGGTAAGTACTCTACTGGAGTCCTTTACAGAATTTCTATGAGAGTAAATATCAAACATCTATGTTTGAATAGAAGGCCGAATTCAAGGATCGTGATAACAATCCACTCAATGATTGCAAACGTGAATTTATACTAACTAGCATTCTAAAATTTACTACCTACTGAATGCAAAGAACATCCATGCTTAATGAATTCACAAACATCTAATTATTAAAAATATTGAACCTAATCTACTCGACGCCGTCCGGCAACAAATTATCATCATTTCAATGCTTCCTTACCTTTTAAATTTCATTATGTCGAAATTCGAAGCTTTATAGCAAGTGTATTAACTAAGTACGTCGCGAAACTCATGTCGACTTATTATAAGGACGATTATTTAATAGGTAGATACTTATGTATTTTCTAGTATCACTTAAAAAACGTTATTTTCGTAATAAAAATTTTGAAATATTAATTTAAAAAAAAAAGAAGTAAATGTGCATACATACTGTAATATTTAGTAGTACGAACTGTGTACATATTGTAAATGCTGTTGTAACTAAAAAAAAATGTTGAATATCTCGTCATAAACATTACAAGTACTCATTTACTCTACTTTCATGTAGATAAAATTTTCTATACATATAACCACTTATTAAGACTAGGTATATGTCGTCATAAAAATGCAAATATATTTCTTAATTTCCAAAATGTATCTTTATAAAACAGCGCATAGTAAATTGTACCTACAAATACTTTAACACGATGATATAATTAATATTGCTTTTGGCCGCGGAAGATCTTAGTAGTCTTTCGATCTCCATTGATCGATCTAACATCGAACACGTAAACATGAACCTAGAGACATCGAACGCTACGCAGATATAAATGATGTGAATCATAACATTGAAATGACTTCTCAATTTGTTGCCGGTTACTTTTCTATTCTTTAATATATAGTTTTATTTTAAAGGCTCTCAAGATGCTACTTTGTATTACGACAATATAATAATACATGTTATGACTTCCATAGAACAAAATCACACCTGAAAGCACGAGCTTTTTATTAGATACTTTTATGAATTTGAGATACTTTAAATGTTATATGAAACACTCAAATATCGGAGTATATAAAATCGGCTAACAGCTTGTCATTCTTCATGACCGAACGGTTATATACCTACGGATACGATTTTGTTCTAAGTGAGTTACAATATAAAGTTGTAAATAAAGTTACTCTAGCTAATCGAACGAACGTTACGTGTATTTCCACAACACCTTATTAATTAATCATTCATGAAACTGCAAATTTCGACAAGATTATATCAAAAATAGTGAATCGACGGTTGTCATCTACAATCTGTCTAATAAATCTGTAGTCTAACGACTTATTTAGGTCACTTGAAACGTCTTAGCCAATCCTCGATACAAAATGGACTATTGTAAATTTTGAATTTTACTCGTCTCCACTCAAGACGACAATTTCGCGAATGTCAACAATTGCGCACAAATATTATCACACGATGATAGCTAGATTTAAAACTTTTTAATGCACTATCAAAATGAATCCGCACTATAAAATTAATGATTATTAAAAATAATAAATATTTAAAAAAAAAATCTCGCAATATAATATGTAGACTGTATGTTTATTTTGTTCACTCACGAACGTATGTTGTGTTTATTGATTTAAATTAAACTATTGTTTTTTTTTAATTATAATATGAATTAAATATTTCTAAATTAACTTAAGAACAAAATCACTAATTTTATAAAATGTGAATTCAACTTCACGACGTTACCACTCTTTTATTGCGGATGCCAATGTCTCATGCCTAATTGCATTAAAATTTTCTATTATTCTTAAAAATATTACTAGTCACATTCGCTTCCCTCAAAATACACATTTTAATTTTTATTCTCGTCCTTAATTACTGCTTACACCAGTCAGAATAAAATTAAAATAATAAAGAGTAAAATGCGAACACAATAAGTTTTAAAAGCTATAACGTATGGGAGATCTAACAAATTATCTACTAGCGACTCAGCGTTTCATGATAAGTGAACTGTAAAAAGTTGCAAAAGGAATTCTTATTTAATAATATTATTTAGTGTTAATTCATTAGATCGTTGTTCCTTCATTTGATTAGAAAACTTGTTGAGCAATAATAAATTATTACTAGAAAATTCACGTATTTCTGAATTTTCCGCCATTTTTACAACTCAAATGAAGTTGTCTATTTTGAAAGGTTAAATATAAACTATTTTTTTTTAATATAACGAAAGCAAAATTAATAAAAGACATCCATGAACATTACCATCACTTACCATGTTTCAATACCTCAGTGTGGTGCGGAATGCGAGAGATCTTTAACGAGGTATTAAAAAGCTTAGTCTTTTTTTTTTAAAAAAGCTAATATTTCAATATAACTTACTCCAAAGGTTTATGATGAGTTCCAAAAGTTGACTAGTTAAGTATCAACGTGTACCGATTAATGCGGAAATTAATCATATAAAACTTACTTTGTGCTATTTCAAAGTATGACACACACGCATACATACATTAAATCTAAACAAACTGGCTTTAAATATCAGAAATTTAATTTAATTTACAGAGTTAAGCATAAAAAACGTTAACATGCGAAATGTTGCGAGCTCCCATTTCAAGCGAAATATATTTCTATGGAACCTTAAAACGTATTTGAATAAAAACAATTTCATACTACATACTTTATACACAACCTTAAACTGAGCTTTGTTAGTCAAATATGTAAAAAAGGAAGAAGATTATTACACACTTTAATTAAGTAACTTTAGATGTTCGAATGCATCAGTTCCTTGAGTGCTTATTATTAATAGAAGAATTTACACTATAATAATAAAGTATTGAAAGAACTATATCAGACACTACCACTTATCGCAGGAAATAAGAATTATCGAAGTACCTTCTACAGTTTATTAGAAAAAAGGTTTTAAAAGATATGCCGTAACGTCCCGGAGCTAGCAACATTTTTACGGTTTATATTTTCAATTGTTATATTTGAGATCCATATTTTATTCGAGTAACTAATAGAGGTATTTTAAATTTGACTTAATATTTGTAATTTAAATCTCATAGACGTGATTTGGAACATTGAACGCTTTAATTAATTCATCTATATCAGTAGAATGGTCTTCAGTAAACCAAATCTGTGAGACTATATTGAAGAAATAAATAATAAGTTTATTAATATACCAAAATAATTAGTATCTTATTCAAAATAGTATGAAAAAGATATCTAAGATTCAGATGATGTGATCAACTGAAACACTACGAAAACATATTCCGCTTTCTATTAAGCAAAATATTTAAATTACACTAAGAGTTAAGTTAATTTTATATAATGTATAAGAAAAAAATCTTTTCTATTCCTAAAAACTGACGCCGTATACGAATAATATATGTAACAGAAGACATTCCCTGAAAATCAAATTGAAAAACGTGCAACATGCCTTAATTGGAATAAAAATAGTTAATTTTCGTTTCCTAATATTCCCCATACAAATGCAAATAAGGTTTCCCAATAAGTCGATACAAATCAAAAGTACTAAAAAATTATACCTATGTATATGCAGTTTATCACATTTTAAATAAAACTATCTTTTCGGAATTTTTGGAGTCTCCCGTGACCATGATTTCTGTAAAGCATTCAAAACGTCGGGAACCAAAAATCATAATAAATTCGCGAAATAATGCGAAAAGATAGTTTTATTTAAAATGTCACATATTCGCGTAAATCTAAGACAGTTATAACATGTAAATAATTAGATATTATAATGTCATCGACTGTACTTAAATTACAAATAAAAGGTTGAAATTGGGATTACACTGAAATAGAATCATATTTTCCAGTTTAAACTTGCACTAACATCATTTATTTATTTCAATGACTAAATCGTCATCGTCATTAAGAATAAATATTTTTTTATTAAACATAATAGATCAAAAATTTCTTTAAAATAAATCAATAATGAATAAAAAATTCACAAACTCCTTAAAGTTAGTATTTATGTTTTGTGATGAAGTCGACGATTTCATAATAAATATACAAGTTTAAATTCAGAAATGTGTTGACTCATTGAATGTTAAGTAAAATGTATCTTTTGTTATAAGATAAAAATTATCAGGAGTGATTTTAGGTAAATGTTTATTGTAATAGAAGAATACAGAGTAAAATTAATAAGCATTTTATCTGATACTTCCTTGTGTTAGTGTCAAATACCTCAAATAATTATTAGACATTGGGTTACATTATGCACTTTGCTGAATATTAAGATGGTGAGAACCATTCACTTTGGTCATTTTAAGTGATGATTCACACTACTAAGGACTGCCTTGCTTTGACACAAACTTGGAATGGAATACATTTTAATTAACGTAATTTTCATTTATGTTGTCCAGTTAAACAAATTTGCACAATAATCCAACGTCTGTTTAAGAGAAATCTATTAGAATCATAAGTCGATAGCTCTAAGCTTTCGTCACTTCTATCAGAAGCGAGTATGATAAAAAATAAACTTAAAATAGCAACATTGCATAACATTGAATTTTTCGAAATCATTACTTATGTAGGTATATATATGTAATAACTGTAATATGTTAACTTCTGGAAGATAGAATTAACAAACCAATGCCCGGGGGGTGTCGGGGGTGTGGGGGGTGTCGGGGGGCGGGCGCGGGTTAGAGGGAGTGGTGCAGCGAGCGGCAGCGGGGGCAGCGGGGACAGCGCGGCCAGCGTCGTGAGTGTGACAGTTTGCGCGCGGCGCACCGCATCCTACAAACTATCGGCTGCCGGCGTCATTTGCCGTTCGTCTGCAGCGCTGCGTTCAGTTGCGTCCATAGATCTTTCTTGCACGACTTTGATCTGTTACATACGTAAATAATACATTATACAATAACAGGTATAACAACAAACAAACACATAAACATGAGTCGTTCAAAAATATTTTTTCCGACGCTCCATAGAAAGCTTCTTTTCGATGAAAAACGCGAGGAAAATTATTTATTAAAAACAACACGTGCCGCAACACAGTGTACAGTACAAGTTTACATTGTACATTAACCCGCTAGATAACTTACCGATAGGAAATTTACTTGGTAAATTAATAGTCAGTTCATTGATAATAATAATATAACATTGTTAAATAATTATAATAGCATATTAAATGAGCAATTCTATAATTTTACCAAAAAATGTTCTGAAATTGTCCTGCGGCACAAGTTTTTTTTAATAAAAAAAAATCCTCGCGTTTTTTCCATCAAAAGGAAGCTCTTTAGGGGGCATCGGAAAGTATTTAATTTTTAACGAACAGTCTAATACACATATTACATTACTCTTTTTTCCCTTATTTCTGCTATACAAGTCTTACGCGTGCTTTAATGACGTAGAAAATGCAAAACTTATTGTGTAGCCATTGTGGTTTTAATTTTACTTTAAAATTATTTCGATTCCAATATCTTCTTCCCTAAAAAAATTTTGGCTTGATACAAGTAAGACTTACGTGTAGGTTATATTAAATTGTATATAATATATTAAATTATTACTTTTATATACTTACACATATTTAAACACAACAATGTAATCTCTGTTTTATATGTAACTAGCCTCCGGTTTGCGACCTCACGTGCATGAATGAATATTTTCCTGTACTTCGCAACCATTGAACGTGTCTTTATATGCAAGCGTGTAAAACGAGAAGCTCATGTTGTATGTTTTGATACATTCTATAGATTTACAGGAGACCAAGATTAATTTTTAATTTAGACCCACCTATATGAATAAAACCCTATTGGAATCCGAACAGCTGTTTTCAAATCATGCGCACGCGCATCATATCTAGCTTCTATTAGAAAAAAAAACATTTTTTCACCTTGTTTAAGTTTTACTATATTCATGTACACCGTACAGATAGATCATCATGAATAAATATGAAAATAATAAAGTTTAACAATTACAGTGTAATTCTAAGCATTATATGTAATTATTACATAGAATAAACTATTAGTATACTAACCTGCGTAACGAGGCAAGCCATTCTTTAAATTGCGTGTTGCCTTCGGGTGTGAGCTGGAAGGCGGTCCGCGCCGACAGTACGATTCCCACGAACTCTTCATATTCAACTGATGTCAAGTGATACAGCTTTTGATGTATGCATTGAATATACCTGACACAAAATGGTAGTATTTGTTATTATATCAGGAAAAGTAAGAAATATTCGAAATATATCAATATCACGTGGGCAAGACTTGTTAAATATAGCATAAGTCTATACAAAAAAGTCACTAATTCTTTGATCCAATTTAATGCAATATGTAACAGCAGAAAATGTGAAACTTTCTTCGTACGTCAGAATACGATGAAAAATGTTATAGCATGTTTAATAATAATGAATTAATATTTAATGCTAAATAAAAAAATATAAAAATTAAAAAAGTGTCTAACGATAAGCAGTAACATTACAAATAGTAACAAATAGAAGTCACGTGTAATGTGTATTAGCCGACTATGCATAGAAGGACATTGTAAATATACTGTTCTTATAAGGCAAACTAGACTCATTCTCGCTCCGCTCCGGTTCATCCCTACTTGCGTTTTAACGTTTAGTATAGATTTCTCAGAGATGAGATATTTTCCCGCAGTAAAAAGTATCCTATGTGTTGACTCGGATAACCAGCTACTATCATACCAAATTTCATTAAAACCTTTCTTAAAATAAAAAAAAATCACAATACTATTATTCCTTCGTAAATTTGTTTTCATCTTTTTAGTTAGCTTTTATGCAGTCGAGTTTTTTATTTTTATAATATATTTATTTATTTACAGCTCTTTAAGTATTTTTAAGTAGGAAAATTAGCGAGAATAGTTGTTAACCAACTTAAACTCATTATATATCCTAAACTGTTATTTCAACTGAAAAATGATGAAAGAAACCTAAAAATGATTTTTAAATACCTATTCAACGATACCTCACTTGATATAGTTCATCGATTTTTCTTTTTTTTCTTTTTCACGTTATGGAATCTAGCAACCCCCATTTTTTTTATGTCACCTATCTAAGAACACTTGGACTAATGAGACGAATCTAACGATAGGTACTTTACTATAGAAATCCATCGAATGTCATGCAAGATATGAGGGAATAAAGAATATTACAAACAAACAAATATACAAAAGATAAGCGCGAAACACATAACCCTTCCCTTGCAGTCGGGTAAGAATACTCACATCTGCTGACACTTGTGCACGAGCGGCGCCAGCGTGCCGCGCAGGTGCTGCATGACGAGGTGGTGCGGGCCGCCGCGCGCCAGCCAGTGCGCCGACTCCACGCACAGCTCGTACAGCACGAACGGCGACACCACCGAGTTCACCGCGCACACGCAGAACTGGTGCAGGTACTGCGCGCCGAGCCGCTTCGAGATGCGCAGTAGCCACTTCACGTGCTCGCCGTACGGTGGATTCCTGTGTGACAATTAATATAAGAAACTTAAGAAACGATACAACTTAATTGTGGAAAATTCAAATCTGCCCATTTGAGTAAAATTACACTAATATATAAAATCGAAAGGTTTGAATAAGTTTATCTCTGGCATTTTATAGCATATTTATTGTTGAAGTTATCTAGCACCACGATAGGTTAGGATTGGAATAACCAAACCAAAGTTAACAACGCAAGTGTAGTCAAAGACAAAATATGTTAGTCCAAAATAAAGCTCTTAAAAGTGATCATATATATCAAAACGTACTGATACTAACCACTTCATTGGCAATCAAGATAATTTTTGATTTAAAGAAATAAATGAATTATTTTATTAATGCATAATTAGGAAACGGTATTAATGACCTTCCTTCTCACACTATAAATCCAAAAAAAAACAATACACTGAATTACCTTCCAAATTTATTCTGAGGACGGTCATCATGAACCCTTCGCGCTTGGGTCTCTAGAGCCAGCATGCCCACACGGTAGGCTGCTAGGAGGCGGCGTAGTTGCGCTTGAGGCAGGGCGGGCGGGCCCACGCCGCTGGCGCCTACCGTGCTGACCGGCCCGCTGACCGTGTTCACTGTGCTCACTGCGCCCACTGCACCCACTGCGTTAACGGCAGCAACTCCCACTGCGCTGATTCCCGGCTGCGGGACAGTCACATGTGTCGCTGGCATAGGAGGCGGGATAGGCGCTGGGTGCTGTTGGAACACCATGTTTTCCTATGGACAAAATTTGAAATGTTCGATTACTTTATAACTATCGCCTGTTTTCGACAATTGACAATAAATACATCAATGAGTTTGATCAGTTTATTTGCAGTAACATGGGTAGCCTGTAACTTTCCTTAATAAATAGACTTTAAAATGCGAAAAGATATCTTAAAATCGTAAATCAATTCGTAATTATAAAGATCAACACGTACAGACACAAACTCTTTATCTTCAAATATTAGTATAAAATTGATGGAGGTCATAGAGTTTTTAACACCACGCTGAAGCTTTCAGAAGTAGAATAATTAAACATAAATAAATTACCCGAGCGGAGTCGCGGGCTTTTAACCAGGTCTTCTCCATATACACTTTAACTTCAGGATTATCATCGCTCATCACAGACGTAACACAGTTTTTTTTTATTATTGTCAATATAAAAATAAGTTTAAAAGTAGTAATGTATTTATATTTATTAGTGTACGCCCAACGGTCGAAATCAACCATAATCATTAACAATAGTTTTTTTGATAGTTTTATTTAAAATGTCAAGTATTCGCGTAAATCTAAGAAAGTATTAATAGTTTTTTTATTGATAACAAAGAAAAATAAAATCGGTGGACAAACTGTTTTGTCTTTGCCTTTTTATATATACATATATATTTATATTCAGCATATCGTTGTAGGGGCATTAAAGTATAATATGAATATACTGACATTAACAGCAATGGGCTGCGGGTGCGCCGGGTGCGGCGGGTGCGGCACGTGCTGCGCCAGCGGCGGGTGCGGCGCGTGCTGCGGGTGTTGCGGGTGCGGCGGGTGAGGGTGCGTGGGCGCCACGATGCCGCGCACGAAGTACGGCTGCAGCGCGTACTGCGCACCCGGGTGTGCTGTTGCCGCTCCTCCGTACTGTAACGAAATCGATGATATAGAAGGAGCCATCATTGTCTACAATGTGTGTGCATCATCATCATATAAGAGTGAGCATATTATACTCTACTAGGAAGTTTGTCGTTTGTTTTTCACCGACTTGAAAAAGAGGAGGTACTCTGTTCGATTGTTTTTTATGTATGATGCGAGATATTCTAGCCCATTATAAACTCTGAGTCTTACTCGCCACCTCTATAGCAATACAAATCTTTATTTCCGTTTTGAATATAGAATTAAAACTTAAACCAAACTTATATAGTACTAATGGTTCACCCTCGCTTTGCTCGGGTTTATCGTATACTATAGGTACGTTTTAAATAGATATGAATAGTTCTTAGCCAGCGTTAGCCATATAAATTTTAATTATTCCGTTAATTTTTCTGGTGTTTTAAAACTTATTATCTTATTCCGGACTAAGAGAAACCCAATAAATCTAATATCACAAAAATTGGTCTAGCCGCTCTGAGTTATAAATGGTGTAACTAACACGACTTTGTTTTATATACTACACCACCGAGGCAGTTTTATATATATAGTACTAACCACTCACCCTCGCTCCGTTCGGGTTCGTCCCTAGTTTTAACTTAGTATAGATTTCTCAGAGATGAGGTATTTTCCCGCAATAAAAAGTATCCTTTATGTTGGCCCAGAACCAACCAAAGAGAACCAGCTATCACCAGCTATCATACCAAATTTCATTAAAATCTATCCAGTGGTTTTTCCGTGATGCGGGTCCGAAACAGACAGACAGACAAAAATTCTAGAAACTATAGATTTGGCCTCTGTATCGATAATAAAGTTCTATTTCAATAAAATTTTCCAAAAAATATTTAATGTACAAATTCGGCTTAGTTACAATTTTATTATATGTATAGATTTCTACAAAAATAATATTATCATCAACGCCAGTATTGTGTACCTAAGGCCACTCCAATACGTACCTGTGTGGGATGGGTAACCTGCAGCTGATATATCGGTGGAGGGTAGGGGTGATACGCAAAGGGGTAGGGCAGGGGGTAGGGTAAAGGCACGGCGAGTGGGGGAGGGGCGCGGTATTGTGTCTCTTCGGGTGCTCCTTCGCCTTCTTCGCTCGCCTGGCGTAAGTACAGCTCGTGCCAGTAGCGGGCTACGGTATACAGCACTTCGGGGTATACACCGCCACCTGTATGTACAGATTAATTAAGCTTTATAAAGGTTAACTTTATGTCAATATTTTTAAATATTAGATATGAAATAAAATTAAATAAAAATACATTTTATTATGTAGTTAGTATGTACTCGTAAAAATTAAATGAGGGGTTTATGGAACCTCGGTCGGAACGAAGTCCCTTTTGCTTTTTGTAGACGTTTGCTGTACAGTCATTATAATTTATATTATAAAATATCAAGTTGATAGAGTTCAATTGAAAAATTTAAGATAAAATATTTTTATTATGTATAAAATAAATACTGAATGATCTAGGATAATTAATTTAATAACGAATAAAAATTTAAGAACTGTATAAATCTTATTTCATTAATAATACTTTTTTAATTTTAGAAATAAACAGAAGGAAAACATCGTGAAGAAACTTGCATGTCTGAGAGAATCTAGCAAGTTTTAAAAGACATGAAATCCGCAATCCAACACCTGGCCGGCGTGGTGGACTATGGCCTGATCCCCCTCGTATTGAAGGGAGAGTCCGTGTCCAGCAGTGGAACGTTAAAAAGGGCTGAATACATACAAAACAAAGGGATAATGCCAGTTACCTTTAGCCGCCGCCTCGACAGTGAGACAGGCGCGCTCGAGCATGGCGTCGCTCTGCTCCTTGCACTGCAGCACGGCGCGCTGGATCTCGTTGTAGTTGAGCGCGTGCGCGTGCGGCAGCACCGACAGCGCCAGCTCGGCCGCCGCGCGCACCATGTGCACGTCGCAGCCTGACGACGCCTGGGTAGCGAATAGCAAAAGTATTCAACTTTTGAGAATGAAACAAAAATATCATCCATGGCAACGCGACGTTTGTACACTATATGTAAAACTCAAAATATAATTTACTTAAGCAAACTTTTATGAGCAATTTATACTATAATAGCGGCTCACCCTCGCTTCGTTTGGATTCGTCTCTAGAAAAACAAACACAAATCTATCCCTCGGGAACCTTATATTTTTACGGGGTAAAAAGTAGCATATGTTATTCCAAACTATAATCTATCTCTGTGGCAAATTTCATCCAGATCCGTTCAGCCGTTCTAGCGTGAAAGAGTAACAAACATCCATACATATTCAAAAACTTTCACATTTATAATATTATAATAATACGGATTCACTATACCATGGTTTAGATAATATTAGAGAAACTATTCCTTTTCACCATTGAATGTTCTGATGAACAAAATATTAATAAAAAATGATGCGATTTGTTATGCATGTAATGAACGGTATTATGGATGGGGGCATTATTGATACGAGGAATAAATGAACTACTTTGAGTACATATTTATTATATTTAAATGTTTGATCTTAAATAACAATTTAAAAACAAAAATTAAATTACGTACCAATGTTCTACGTAACTGATCTAGCCATTTTTGTTCATTTGTTTTTTTTATGACGTAATAGATCTCCAGAAAGTTTAAATTAAAGAGAGTTTTAAACATGAGTTTAGTATTTTAAAATATTTTTTTCTTTGAGATTCTACTCTGAAAATCTTCATCGGTAAAAGTGAATCGATACAAGTGATTGAATTATGTCACTTTCCAATTCTTACCATACTGACAGGTGTTATTCGCCCCATACAACAATGAAAACAGTATAGTAAATATTAAATTTAAAAAATGTCAGTATTATACGGATGTTTGAAAGCAACTTCTGGCTTTTTATACCGGAACTGCGTTTCCAAAAGCGTACTGAGTCAATTTTAAATTCTTAAATTATCAATAGTTGGCACTCACCAGTGTTGAAAGAAAATAATTTTGAAGCGGGTGAAACTTTGAGCAGTAACTAGATGTTCTAATAAAACAGTCATCATCAGTCATTTTAAAATAATAATACAGATTCAACTTACAAGATTAAATAATATTTACCTTATCTGCAATTCCTGCAGCTTCTGGCGGTGTGAGGTGGCCTTCCCAAGCATCAATTAGGAACAAAATTGCTGGCGCCCCAATATCCATGGCTTGGCCTAATGATTACATACAAGTTTTTTTAATATGATTTTATAATACTTTTATAAAAAAATAGTAATATAGGAAAAAGAATTCACTTTACCTGTAATCCAGCTAACATGTGACGAATAAGTACGACTCAACCAATTTGCGCTAACACAATTATGTAATCCCAGTGCATAGAGTCCCAATTGGAAGGCGGCCATGTGTAATCCTCTGAAATGTTTAAACTTTTTCAGTAATCTGCTTTCAATAACAAAAAAAATATATAAGAAAAAGTACTTGCGACTTTTTACCTGTGTGGCCCATGATGTTCTCTAGCACATGATGTTTGTGTGAAGAGACTTGTACTTGATGAACCTCCAGCTTTGAACAGTACTGATTTTGCCAGCTCAAACATAAAGTGTGCTGATGCTTCAGATGGCTGGTTGGGTACAGATGGGTACAAGCGCTTGCCTTTGTATCTAAAGTGAAAGATTTTTTTATAACTATCAAAAATATATTAACAAAAATAAATAAATCTTAGTATTATTTAATAGTTTTCAATACCTGGAATCTTTGAGCCTTGGCAGAGATTGATGCCCAGGTGCATGTGATTGATGGGACTGGTGGGACTGGTGTGATTGATGTGATTGATGAGCCGTCTGGTGCGATTGATGAGATTGATGGGTTTGATGAACTTGATGAGTTTGGTGTGTTTGATGCGTCAAGTGCATCATGGCGGGCGGAGACGGTCCACCTTCAGACACTGTTAGACGATCCATTTCACCAACTAAAGGACACGCTGATACCTGTGTAAAGACGAAATAGTATTATAAACAATGTCTTTTTTCTATTTAGATGTAATATTACTTTTCCTCTTGATGGATTTGTAAAGACATTTAGTTTTTAATAACTCTTTAATTATCTTCACTTATAACTAAGTAAACAGCTAAATTTTCTTGGTCGAATTTTTTAAGTGCATTCAGCACGACATTACGTCGTATCAATCTTAAACTTTTTATATATATGAAATACGAAATACAATACTACAAATATATAAGATATTACGACGTACGACGATTACGACGTAAATTGGCAAAAAAATAATTAGAATCTTCTAAATAACCTGAACAATAATTCAATACACAAATGGATCAAATAAATCAATTATATCAACGGACTTGATTATCCACAAAATAAAACAACTCACCGACATAACCGATTGCTGCACAGGCGCCGAGTGTTGCGCGTGCGCCTGGTGGCTGTACACGGCGGCGTCGCTGCGGTACGCGGCCAGTCTCGGGTTGTTCGTGTAGTACATACTCACCATGGGCCCCTTTGTTAGCTGGTGGATGTCTCGATCTAATAGCTATAAATAATTTTATTATTATTAGTGTACTAAAAATTCACTTCCAATAAATAAATTATGTTTATCCAAGTGATATGTAAAATTTTATTAAAATTATGTGATTTTTGAAATGAGCTTTTCTTTAGTTTTTTCAGTGAATCTATTGGCTAGTGCAATAAAACGAGATGTGTTGGTTTTTTCTTCAGAGAAAAAATGTTTTCTAAAATCTAATAAAACAATAATTGTTTTATTTATCAATATGGGAGGAAGGCTACAGTCGCTTAAATTGGCATCGTGGTGATTCGATAGTCGTTCATATCATTACTTAAGTAAATCTTAAACATTAGACGATATTATAATAAACTTTACCTTATTCATAATCCTGGCCAACTTGACCGGGTCATCTTTATAGAAAGACAACAAAGTGAGAGCCAATTCGCCGCGTTGTCTGCGAGTTCCTTCACATAGCAACGGATGTTCCGCTTCCGATACATTTGCCTTTAGACCGAGAGCCGCCACCGCCGCTTCGAAACCTAACGCTTCGTCTGTCGGACTCCTTGCCTATGGCATAAAGTAAAAAACAGTAAATTTAGTCTTTCAGTAAGTAGCACCATATCAAATAGAAAACTTTATATAACCGCCGACTATAGAAAAGAGCTATCGACAAAATCAAGAGCTGCCCTTTTAAATGTCGACTTACAACATTTTTAATTCAACATTATATCAATCCCGCGGACGAGTAAAAGTAAGTAGTAAAGTAAGGTAGGCAGTATTATGAAAAAGTACAATATCTATATCTAATTATAAATGAAAAAATCCTCACAGGATGTTTGTTTTCTTTGTCAGTGGCAGATAGTACCAGAACGTCAAACAGATAACTAGCCAATGCTATCGGCAACAAAGCCGGGCCACGATTCCTGGAAACACAAAATTTGAATGTAACATCACTCCAAAATTATATTCCATAAATAAACGGAAAATCGTAAAAATTAATATTGTTAAAGTGGCGATGTAATTACATTTTATGATATGGTTGGTAGTATCTATTTTTTGTTATGTTGGCAACACTCTCTCTTGTTACGGTGTCTGCAGTGTGTGTGGTATATGATCTATCCAAAATTAAAATACTCTTCTATTAAAACAATTTGTAGTCTCTTTTATCATATTAATAGTAAATATTTAGAATGTAAGTTAAATTTTACAAATGTTTACTGCTAATTCATCTGAATACATTACACATATAGTATATTTAAACCTTTAATATAAATAAATATTATTGATTTATCATTCATTTACTAATACAGTGAAAGTAAAGCTTAACATATGATATACTACCTGAGGGTCCCATCGCGTAACTGCTCCGCCTTTTCTCTTGCCAATACAAGTTGTTCTACTCCAGTGGGCAGTTTCTTTAACAGGGCAACTAATTCCGTTTCTTGGTTGTTAAGTTTCACCTCAAGTGCCTTGGTGCTGGCCGGCGGACGGGCCATTTCTAAAGCGTACAATCCAACTCGGAAAGCTAACTCATGATGTTCGTTAAACTCTGCCAAAACCTATACAAAAAAACATACACACTTTTTATTCAAAAAAATGTGAACTAGTTTTTACGTTATATAAATAAAACTGATTTAAAAAGTACTAAAAATGCCAAAGGTAATGTACAATATGAATAGAATCTTAAAATATTGAATTACAAAAACGTTTCAATGTTAAACATAAATTATAATAATTATGTAAAGTCAAAGTGTCTATTATAAATCTCTTTATAAATAAATTAGTAATCAATTCTCAAAGATTACCTTTTTTTTTTAATTAGTACCTATTGAGCAAAGTAGAAAATCATCGTAATTATCGATAATCATGTTTTCATTTTCATTTTCACACACACATTTTCATTCAGTCTATTTGACTTGCTTTAAAAAAACATTTTTTTAGTACTTCTATAAAAACTTGCAAACAATAGGCCTAACTCGCCTCCTATTAAGCAGATCAAATGTATAGCCACTATTAAGTAATAAGTAATATCACACAGATAACAAAACAAAATACAGGTTATACTAACAGTGCACAGGAAAGCACACTTGGCGAGCGTGGCGGACGCGAGACACGAGAGCCGGTGGCTGGCGGCGCACAGGCGCGGCGACGGCGCGTGGCGGCGGCGCGCGCGCCGCGCCTCGGCCGCCGCGCTCAGCACCGACCCCACGCCGGCGCCACCACCGGTACCTGTGTGCGCGTCATTGTGTTAGCTAATTGATAGATAACTATAATTATATAATTACGGTTAATTTTTATCATTGGTATATTTAACATGGTTATCACTTATCACTTTATTTAATTATAAATTGTGTACTATGTAACTCAAACCATAAATCAAAAAACTTCATTTCAGTCTGTATACCTATTAAGTTTTTTTAGAAATAATAGCGACCCTCGCAAAACGCGTAACGCGCCTGTCAAAGAGAGAGAAGAAGAGTAACAAACATACATAGTCCACTTATTATCAATAAACTAAAGGTAACTTAATTACAAAATATTATTCACCACATAGTAACGGACCAACCCACGACAAGATAACACAGATTTTTATATTGAATTGACAATTAATAAGCAATTGTAAAATAATTCTAAATAAAGTTTGAATAACTATAGCACATAATCTAAAACATCCCAAATACAGGCGAACTCGCCTTATAAAATATTTTTCGTTTGAATAATCAAAGCAAAATAGAATAATACGAGTGCAAAGTCAGACTCGCACACAAAGGATTCCTGTCCCATCATACAAGGTATAACATTATGTACTAATCATTTTCTTTAATTAGCATAATGAACATTTTGAAATTCGTCTTCTTGGTTCTTTATTATTTATTACTGAATCGGCTGTATCTCATGAGATACATGGCACCCTTCGGGTATGGAACCTTAGAGACAAAACAACATTTGACACGTTTGTTTGGCTGAGTTGGTAGTGACCCCACTCGCTGTGCCAAATTGCGGGTCGAGTCCCGCTGGGGGCTTTCATTTGTGTGATAAGCACAAATGTTTGAACTTCAGTCATAGGTGTTTATAATTATAATATGTATATATTTAAAGTTATATAAATGTAAGTAGTTTATCAACTATTTGGTATCCACAGCACAGGTGCTGTGTTATTGTCCCAACACAAAAAAAAAAACCAACAACATACCAAGCGCAGGCGGACTGGCCAGCAACTCGGCAGCAAGGCGGGCGCCGAGCGCGCACGCGTCCCGCGCGTGTCCGTGCGCGTGCAGGCCCTCGGCGCGCGCGAACGACACCTCCCAGCCGCAGCCCCAGCTCGCTAGGGTGCTAGCCCCACGCCCGCTGCCGCTTGCACTCTGTTTTTATTCATTTATTTTAAGAAAAAAAAAGAACTAGCATTAAGATTACATATGTATTTCCACATTTATAGTGACTGGTAATTTTATAGGAAAAGCACATTATTTATAATTTGTATATTTTATTCAACGTTCAATAGAATTTGCACATATTAACGTTATTACATTTTAACTAAAGTCTTTAAAATTTATTTAAAAGTAGTTATACCATACTTAGTTATGGAACTTTTTAAAAATTTAGAAGGAGGCTCAACCAAGGATGAATGAATGGATAACCTATTTATTGAAAAAAAAAGAATCATAAATGAACCCATTCTTTTTTGATATCGGGAAAAACCTAAACCCAAAAAATACAACCCAATTAAAAACCAAATACTTTCAAACCAACACAACACCCAAACCAACAAACCAAATAGCACATACCGTGTGCGCAAGTATCTGGCCAGCGCCGGCGGCGTCGACGGCGACGCGCCTGGCCGCCGCCGCGTCGTAGTAGTACAGGTTGCAGTCGTCGTCGGACACGGAGTCGTCGTGGGAGACTCGGCGCACCGCGTCGTCGGACGACGCGCCCGCGGAGCTAGACTCCTGTGAGTCGGTATCGCCGCCGCTTTGCTGCAGTATCTCTTCTTCGTTCTCGCAAAATCCTATATCGGTAAAAGTTTTTGTTAGCTATACTATTCATATAAAATTAATACCAAACTATTAATATATGTAAATAAGAAATTCGATATCCTGTTAATGTAATGCAATTAAAGTATTACCTTCAGATGACACACTAGAATGGTTGCCATCACTAGGGCCAGTGTCCCGAACTACTTCACTTGGTCCTTCACCGGATCCGCATGGCTACGATTAAGACATGTATATTTAAATTATTAAATAATAATAATAAAAACTATAATTTTTTTCTGTATATTTTTTTGAATGCAGTTTTAAATTTTTTTTAAGATATATTATATTGTACTGGCAACACTACCAAGCTTACACATTTTGCAATATAATAACAATATATCAAACGAAAAATATTAAAAATATATTCAGAAGAATACTATAACTAATATGTACATTTATCACACTCTATTATTATTTATTATACCATTAATTATAGCCACAAATTCAGTGTATTATTCTGTTTCACCTGACTAGAAGGTCCGGGCACAGCAATGTCGACGGTAATACGGTTGTTCCTGTGTATCAATGTGCGGTGGCCGATGAGGGCCGGGTCTGGGTTCGTGAGACGGTAGCTTAACGACATCTCGTTGTTCAATACTGCCTTTGATGAGTTCACCTAAAACATAATAATAAATGTAAATATGTTGGGACATTAACACACAGCACCCTCTTGTTCCATGGTAAGCTACGACTCTTGGGTTACGGATACCAGATAGTTGATACACTACAGACATACGGTACTATTATATGTTGCACATGAAGACTTCATTATTGCTTTAGTAGTGAGACATTTAATATTTAAATATCTTCTACTGTATCATGCCATGTTAACACAGTAAAATACGAGAGTTTGACGCTTCCTATACATTATTGTTTTTCAAAGCGTATTTTTATAGTTTCTTAGTATTTATTATGGTAACCTCATATAAATTTTCTGATAGAGTTCCCAAAGAAATAATATAAGAAATTCGTCTTTTAAAGTGTAAAAATTATGATACACCAGTAAAATGTATAAGCTAATCACACGAAAAAGAAACCATACCTGATGAACACTATCATTCTTATCCGTATGCCGGAATATAGTGAACGGACTGTGATATAGCGGGTTTAAATCCTTTGTGTAAGTGACTCCTGGTATCTGATAGTCATCCCATTCTAGGAAGCATGCTTCCATAGCGGGGTGGAAGCCTGGAAACACTTCGTTCTCGCTGATACCGTTGATGTACGGCGGGTGCGAGTGCGCGCGGGAGTGCCGCGGGTGGGACGACGACGTGTTCATGTGGTTGTTGCGGTTCTTCGCCACCTGGAATATTTACTATGTTTATACAAATAAATATTAATCTATACTAATATTATAATGAGGTGAGTTTGTGACGTTGTAGGGGGTAATCTCTAGATCTCCTCTACCGATTTAGATGAAATTTGGTAAGAAGATAGTTTGAGACCCTGGGAAGGACATAGCTATACTTTTTATCCCGGAAATCATCCCTTAAGGAGGTGAAATTGGGGATGAAACTTTGTATTGAGAAAATTTAAATAAAACTAACTTTGGAGATTTTTTCGCGGTTTTATTTTGGTTTTTGTTTCCTGATATTTCAAATGCTTTACAGCAATTATAATCACAGATGAGAAAGAGGTAAGAAAATGTCAAATATTCGCATAAATCTAAGAAAACATTATCTAATTACATATTTATTATACTATTTTATATCGCCTGTAATCAAAACTTTCGAAAAAAAATATCAAAGTATGTATAACTTATATTTCACCTAGAGTCTAGACTACTGCGATTAATTTAAATACAAGAAATAAGAATTTTGTTTACTAAATAATTATATATGAAGGCGCTACCGATCGAGTGGCAACACTAGCGGAGCGTCGCAATGGTGAGAGCGGGGCAGCCATCTTGCAGATTCGAGAAGACGGCCGTTAGCGCAACACATACGCGACGAATCGCTTACGATCTTTGTGTTTTAATTTATTTATATTGCTTCTAATAAATTGTTATCTTGTTGATCACAGTTAAGCGTCGAGGTTTGTATTTTCTCGCCCGTGTTATACCCACGCCAAGCCATGAATACCTCTGATGAAGGCGCATTTGCGTCTATATATACATGTTTATATTTTTTACGCTTATCGGAACATCTGCTTCACAATATCATTTGATTGACAAGCTAATTACACGCCTCTTGCAATAAATATACATTTAAAACGGGTAAAGCTATTTTCAATGCACATAAATGGATTATTATTATTACTTTTGGTTTTACCTTTAAGCGACTGTAAAAAACGTGAGGAATTCTCAATACATTTGTCTTTTTGCATGTATATAACGGGATATCTTCTGCCATTGCAAATCTATTTTAATGATTTATAACTATAATTGGTATGTTTATACAAACATATATAATTATTATTACCTTATCCAGAACTTTCATGTGCCACTGAGCAAATTGCTCATGCAAGGTATCACGTTCGTAAGGAGCCAGGCCCGGATTTAATGCTGCAAGGCGCCATAGGACTACAACCTATGTGACAACATTTCATATATTATAGACAATATTAATAAATAAAAATACTAAAACAGTTAACAAAAGTGTTTTTTCTTCAGCAAAACTCTGAACACAATACAAGCTATAAAATATTGCTGAAAGCCTTATATACTTTCACTTAACAACACATTTCTTTGGCCTAGTGAATCGAAAAAAAAGCAACAAACTTAAATAAGTGACTTAAGTAAATAGTCATTTGTAACTTTTACATACATTAACGAGTATTAAATTTTATAATATTAACAAACTAAATAACTCAGAGCATATGCTCCAATATAAAAGCTATTAACAATCTGAGCACAAATTTAATTAGTTTCCTTAATTAGTTAAAATACACTTTGATGCATTAACTGAAAGATAGCTTGGAATCGATAGCAACAATTCCTATTGTTTGCTCAAACTTCATCGGTGATCTTTATTACAATCTAGTTGTAACAAGCAGTAAAATAAAAACAATTTAGCACCTCGTCGCAGAGCGAGGAGCAGGCGTGCTGAGCGGCCGAGTTGCCGGCCGCGCCGTGCTTGCCGCCTCCGCCCCACGCCACTAGAGCCGCCTTCGTACTGTACCACCACACTATTATCTGTGTAGCAGTAAATAATAAATATTATAAAGAATGTGTTCGATGTTCTTTATTCTGTAGCTTATAGATGTGTCATTTGGGCACAATTTACTTCGCCAATGTCGTGTAGAAAGGAGAAGACACGGTAGAGATTGAGAATTGATCAGTTTAAAAAGAGATATTCACAATTATAAAGAATGTTATGTACACAAGTGTCTACTGAACGCATAATACTGTCATTTCCTAAAATACCTCACCTGGGGGTAGTTCAAAAAAACTTTTACGACCGTGTACGGTAAGGGTTGAGTGTGCGGAATGCTCCATAATAAGTTTTAGTAAAATTATCAAAGTTATCTTGCAAAAAGCAGTGAACATTCTGAACTCTTTCTTACAAATAAAAATTTAGCATTTAGCAAATGAACCAGTGTTGGTGTAAAAGTCTTTGGTGCACAAATGCGACGTAAGAACCTACACGGGGCTAGCGATCCATGTAGCGATCCCTTTCATCTTTACGCAACAAAAAGGTAAATTTTGTAAAGGAATAGTAATATCATTTACATAAATTTATGTACGTCCATGGTTTAAGCTTTAAGAGCTTTCGTCATGGATGTAAAGGGGATAATGCCCGAAACTATTAATCCGAATAAAAATTCTTTTACTAAGAGAAAGCTGCATTACCGCCGTGAGCTATACGCTATTTTCTATTCTGTTAATATGACAAAAAGTGATTTTTTCCATAAGCACGGGTATCTATAGTCTATTGGAACGACGTTTTAATACCTTTTTTTAAGGTACCCAGTATTTTTAACATCTGGCTTATTTAAATACATTTTTTCAAATGAAACCATAGATACTAAAATTTGCAGAGTTAATTCTACATAAATTGGCGCAGTTTTTGAAATATGAAAATCAAAATGCCAAAGTCGTACATGAAGTTTCATTTTTATACGTACTTTTAGAAGAATCTGATATAAAGGCAGGAAGACCCTCTATTAGATTACTTTACAAAAAGAAATCACTACTATAAAGTTGATACTTCGGCTGTACTTGCAAAATTAAGTTCAGCCAAAGTACTTCCAGAAATAGCTTTGTGAGTTTTAATTAATCTCTACCTGTTTAACTTTTTTTTATTTCATACAGACACAAAGCACTTTGATATCATAAATATACAAGATTTGATATCTTAGAGATACAACAATATTTGTTGTTAAATTTATTATCTCATATCTCAAGTGCGACTTATAGCTAGATTAATAGTATCAATTTATATTTTTAAATAAAACTATGTTTTCGGATTATTTCGCAGATTTATTTTGATTTTTAGTTCTCGACGTTTCGAATGCTTTACAGCATCCATGGTCACGGGAGAGACTGAGGTGTTACATGTCTTGAAGGTATAGTTGTTACAGACAGCCTACCCACTCTGTCTGTAACAACTATAACATATAGGATACTTTTTACCGCGGGAAAATATCTCATTTCTGAGAAAAAATACAAAAACTTAATTGTAAGAGTATACTAATATGTAAAGCCTAAGAATTTGGTTTTTAGTCATCTGAACGCTAACGGAACCGCGGGCAATGCTAGTTAGATAAATAAAATAATGAAATATCAATATTTATTAGATACAAATACAAAAGCATCAATAAGAATAAAAACGCAATCTCTGCAAAACTATAAAGTACTTGCAGTCCGGATTATCCGAGGACGGCAATTTAATCATGATATTAGCACTAACTCACGGGAATATACATACATTTAAAGAGTATCGCAATCAAAAATTACCTGTTCACAAGCCATAACTTCCTCGGTGATTATTTCCAGCAACGGTATAGCGTTTCTATCGCTTCTCTTAAACATCTCCCGTACTATGGACAGCAAGTTCCACATGCCCTCCGGCTCGCGACCTCTCAGCGGCCGCAAGAGAGACGACCACTCGGCCGCGGCCGGCGGTGCGCTGGTGCTAAGGTAATTCACATCACTGAAATATAATAAATAATAAATAAATATGTTCGGACATTAACACACAGCATCATCTAGTTACATGGTAACCAACGAGGCCTGTGTTATTGATACTAGATAGTAGATACACTACACATATATAACTTGAAATACATACATATTATAAACTAGCGACTCACCCTCGCTTCGATGGGGTTCTTCCCTAGCTTGTTTCCCCATACAAACTTTCATCCCCATTTTCACCTCCTTAAGAGATAACTTCCGGGATAAAAAGTATCCTATGTCCTTCCCAGGCTCTCAAACTATCTTCTTACCAAATTTCATTAAATCGGTTCAATAGATCCAGAGATTACCGCCTACAACGTCACAAATTCACAATTCACAAACTTTACCTCTTTATAATGTTAGTATAGATATAAACACTTATGACTGGACAAACATTCGTGCTCACCACACAAATGAATGCCCCCAGCGAGACTCGAACTAACTGAAATCACTACAAACTGAGCCAAACATGTAGTCAAATATTTAAAATATTAATATGTTAAGGTTTTGTTTCGAATTTATTACATTTTTTCAAGTTATCCCTTGACTTTTGCACGAGTTATATTGACAACTAGTAACTTTTCTGTCTTGGGACTAGTCATTATGACTGCAGGTCCGAAGGTCCTCATTAGCGTCTGGCAATCCAGCCGAGCGCGAAGACAAAAAATGCACTGGGAGGCCCACCTCTGTAGGGGGAGTGCCGTGCGGGTTGCTCCTGGTACTTCTCTGATAGCAGAATGGACCGTGGAGCAACCCCATGGTTATTGTGGTCTGTTTCGGCAGACCTGCGTGGCGACGTGGTTGAGTGCGTAAGTGATCCTGCGACGCCCCATTAAGACGGGGGAGGTTTAGTTGGGTTTTAATGGGTAGTACTGGCTATTCTAATAATTATTTATGTAGTAGTTATACGTTTAAAGTGTCTTTTAATTCGCATAATATTTTATTGTATATTATTGGACTGTGTGAATTTTTTAAATACTCAATTCGCCGTGTGTAAGGCTTTGTACTTATTTATTTTTAGTCCTCGTGACACGTTTCTCACTTTATGTTTGAAGCTTTTCATTCATAGGCCTAGTTCCATCTACAAAAGATGATTTTATGTAGCATCCGGTAGTTTGCATTTCCTCTCATGGCTGAACAGACCGATACGGGAGTTACAGCTACGATTACAATTGTTGCAGACGTATTGATTTTGCAGTGACGAAGAGGGTTGATGGAGTTGGTTGGTCTCACGCTGGTGTCTGCACGCGCGTTTACGGGCTAACTCATTGAGCCAGGCGTGGTCATGCGACTTTACGCCGTCCCCAGATAATTTTCTCCAACGGGCACGGTCCTCATCTTTGTTTGAAGCGTACAACAAATTTTATTCCACTTATTGAAATTAAGCATTGCTTATTTTTAAGCAGGCATCTTTGATTGTTACGAGATCATTCCGATTCCGAACGTACTGGATAACGTAATGCTAGCTAACGTTCAATTAATATCTAATACTGCATCATTACTCTATAACCAAAAAATATAAGGCCTAATTATTAAAAATGTATATAGACTAATATATATAAACTATACATTAAAATAAGTATTAAGAAAATGAAATGCAATAAAGACTACATTCATCTTCTTCTTTGAAGTGACCATATCTTAGTAGAGTTGAGATGATTTCTTTAGAATGTTTTCATATACTCATAAAACCACTCTGCATAAGAAATTTTAGACATAAGCTTAGTAAGTACCTAGAAGTAAGAATTGTACTAAAACTTACCTAAACACAATTGGAGCTGGGACACAAAATTTGACTAAAATCTTGTTGATGTTATTATGTAAAGTCTTCTCATCCAAGAACCAAGATGTGTATTCAAAGGCGGACGCCCCTGCAGTCGGGTCCGGTGCACCACAGGTCGTGTTAATCTGGTTTGGTTGAGCGGATAGAAGTTCATCCAGAATTCTTTGAGCTGTGGGAAGCACTTGTCGTGGCAATTCTGATATGAGATATTGTGCAAACTTCTGTAGCTGATCTCTTCTTAACCGTTGAAGTGACTCTGAGACTGGCGCACGAAGACATACTTGTGTTGGCTAGTGAAATAATAACATATGTAATTCAATTCAATGCAAATTATTTATAATTTTCGTATTTTATCATAGTTAATTTTACAAACATAATACATAGATTACACTTTATGACAAGATATTCAATGAATTAGCCTTTGATTCTCTATTTAACCTTGATAAAGTGAATTTTCCTCCACTTGCATAGTCAAAAACTATTACATAATTTGATTAAAGCTATTTAACATCATATTTGAAACAGACAATTTTTGAAAGTCTTGTAAAATGTATTAATTATTATATGATTAACTGAGTCACAATAATTTATTATGTATAGCAATATTAATGATTCACAATTATTATTTCTGCTAAACTAGGTCAGAAAGGGAAAATATAAGACAAATATTATGTTTATTCATATGGTGGTGGTCATAAATATAGTAGTATATAATACTATACAAAATAACACTAAGCAATTATCATACTTCCCACTTTTCATATAATGCTCCATATTTAATGTTCTGTCATTGTCCTAGCCTTGCAAGTTACATATAGTAGATAAATGAGACACTTGCTATTTTATGATGTTAGAATATTTCTTAATAATCACAAATACTTTTTATTAGTTAAATACATGGGATACTTACTAAATGTATTCTGTAAAGGCAAACAGCAACAATGTGCGAACACCAATGTGCTGATGATGAACAAGTGCAATTACAAGAAGAAATTTTCTGTCGGTCAAATGTTACTGCCACATTGCACTGAGTTCTACTCATGATGAGTGTAACTGTTGCTGATAGATGGAAACCTGTAAAAATATCTTAAGTACAATATTCCTGTTTTTGTACACTTTACCTACTACAACCTACAAAAATGTTATAATAGACATCCAGTTCTTATCAAACTTACAAAATAAATAAATGTTCTTGGTTTGTTTTATAGTTATTAGTAGAATCCTTACTTTATATTATAGTATATATTATAAATTAAAGTGTGCTTCCAAACTAAGTTTGTGTTTGTTTGGACTAATCTATGGAACTACTGTATGGATATTCTTATGGTTTTCACCGATAGAAAGAGGACATAATTAAGAAGGTTTGAGCTATTATGTCCCTAGTTGCCAAACAGTAGCCTATGTGTTACTCTGTCTAGGTGATAGTCTATCTGTATTTTAAATTTCATCTAAACCTTTTAGTCATTTTAGCAAAAATTAACTAAAATTCATATAAACATGTAAGTATTTATAAGCAATCAGACAGAGAAACATATTATTAAACTATACAGGGTGGAACAAATCGATGGGACATGGAAGAAAAGTACCTTAAATATTGAAATTATCAAGATTTACTCAAAGGAAACATTTCATTATTTTTTAAAATAATAATACGAGACAAAGACACCGTCACTATTTTATAGAATTAATTGATAGGGTCTATGGGATGGATAAAATCTCTCGAACAAACATTGCCTCTTAGAATTAAAAAAAACGATGCAATCTTACAAATTATACATATCGACTCTAACATCGTGGAATAAACGCACAGGACATGGAAGAAAATTGTCCTAAGTACTGAAAATATCAAGTTTCAGTCAAAGTAAAAATCATTTTATTTTCAAAAAGAAGAATAACTGCATTTAATATTTTTTTTAAAGGTGACCTGAACGGGTAATTGAACCAACTGACAATGCAAAAAGGTAGACCGTCACTATTTTATCAAAGTAATGGATAGAGTCTATGGTAAGGATGAAATGTCTCACACTAAAATTGTATGTTACAATTAATGAAAACTGAAATCTTACAAATAGCACATAACCATCCTAACTATATAGTGTCTAATTAGATAGCCTCCTTCAATAAATTGGCTATAAAATGTAACATTTATTTTTGACACCAATAAATGAAATTTAAGCAATCTCTTCAGCTTTCTAATGAAGAATATGTGCTAATTTAAAAGTAACTTATACAAAACTTACCAATTTGTAAAACATCTTTAACAGCTCTGTCTCTGAACAAATGCTCTCCTTTTTGAAATTCATCTGCTGATCCATTTGCAAGGCAGGAATATAGGCGGATGTCATCTTCACTGTCTGGGAAGCTCCAGAACGCAATTTGAAGTTGCAGTTGTTCAGGCACAGGTGGATAAACATGTTCAACCAGTTCAAATGGTATATGACATGCTACACATTTTGCTGCCAATTCACTTAGGGTTGACACTGATTTTTCTACAAAACCCAGATTAGTGTACATTATAATGATATTAATTTAGTTATTAATAGAGATTTAACAAAATATTTTAATTCATTACTCTTATAAAATTGTCTTTAATTTTACTTACAACAAAATATAAATTAATTCTAATTTTATTTCTTTTGTTTTTATTGTATAAAGACAAGTGAAAGAACAATCAGATTCACTTTTATATATTGTCAGTGAAAGTTTGTGAAAGTTACATAAATAGTCCACTTAATATTAATATATTAAATATTTTATTCATATTATGTAAGCCAATAAGATTAAATTGTCACACAAGAAACAACAAGGATTTGAAAAAGAGGTTATTATTATTTACTGCTCTAGCCAGTCAAAGGTAAATGACTTCATGGCACCTGTCTTCATACAAACACACACAAAGAAAAACTGTTTGGAAAACGAAATAACTCCAAATAATCGTGTTTATTTATATTGATATCAAATATAAATAAATATTTAACTACATTCCCTACTAAAATTATAGCAAATTCTGTTTATTTTTGCAAATATGTCTATTACTATACATCGAAACAAAGGATCAGCTGTATAAACTTACCTTGAACAGTTTTTTTCGTAGAACGGGTACCGAAAGCGTTTTGGGGGTTTGGTCTTTTCCATCCTCGCCAATTATTGCAAAGACTCTCAGGTTCCGAAGTCCAGCTGCACAAGGAATCTTCTTCAAAACGTTCCGAATCTTCGAAGCTAAAATGATCTCCTTCCTCCCAATCGAGTAAAGGAGATCCCACGTCAACTGGGGCGGCTGGTCGACCCCCTTTGCCATTATTATTTGATGCCCCCGCCACTTTATTGATGTTAATTTCAATAATTGAAAAATAAATTCGCTGGATAAATTCAGCGAATTACTATTTCTAGGGGGTATCCACAATGCTAAATATGCATGCTCCCTTATACATAAAAGATTTTATGGGTCTCGGTAAAATTTTTCAAAACAATATAGATATAAGTAAAATACATCACAATCTTAGAAAATTGTTTCACTTCCTAGTCAGAAATTCAGTGATCCAAATAAATTCCTATGGAGCACAATAACAAATATGGCCGTTCAACGTCCCGTCTCGACCATAGATTATAGTTTTTCAAGAAGAGCAACTGTCTCATTTGTGAGAGCTTAATGAGCTTTTTGAAACATTAATATTATGTACCTACTGCTAGATATTAATAATATATTATGAAAGATAAAAAGACCAGTCTTCGTGAGGTTATAAATAATTAAATAATTTATTAATAGTATTGAATATTAAAATAAAGACTTAACTTTTTATTTTTACTAGGTGTTCTTAATTTTAAATAAAAACATTATCAAAATAATAAAATTGAAAACTAGAAATCTTTCAAAATATCAGATTTTTGTAATTTTATATTGTGTTTTTAGGCTAGATAAGAAGGTTTTGACTTTTGAGTTTCTGTTAAGAAATACAAAGATATAATGCGTATGATGTTTTGTTTAAATTCCACTATGACATTGTATTGACTCATATAAAATTTGGCATTTCACAGCATCTTAATCGTTAAAAAAATATTTTTAGCATTAGGATGATAAAAAATTAAAATTTTATACATAATTACAAAAAAATAAGTTTTATTATTATATCGGACCATTTTTCAACCACTTTTCGTCTACTATCTCTATGAAGTATGAAAACAACTGATTGTCAGTTGTAAGCATGACAAAACAGATTCTTCTTCTGTGATTTTTGATTTTGACAAGTAACAAGATTATTTAGGTACTGTTTTATATATATTATGTAGCAATATACTCTATGTTTATATATGTAGCAATATACTCTATGACTCTATGGGTACTGTGGATAAAAGGCAAAGCACTAAGCAGAGATTGTTCTGGATTCTTTCTAATAGTTTCAAATGTATTTTATTTAAAAGTAATAAAGTAATGTCTTAAAAATTAGTTTCTTATGCCTGCTTAATAGCAGTATTTATATGTATGTGGTACGTGTACTTTTAGGCCACATCAGGGTAAAATTAGAGGTTATCTAAATAAAGATATAATAAAGAAATTGTTAAAAATGTTTTGTTGGGGTAATGCTACTCATCATGAACTGTGTATTGAAGGCACCAACAATATTGACTTGGTAAGAAAGCATATGTTAATATAAAATCTATTATATTTTTTAATTCTAATTCTAATATTAAAAGTCACATTTTTGCTTGTATTTATTGAATTATAGCATCAACATAATTTCAATGTAAATCTTTCTCTAACTTTTTGAATTTAATTTGGTTGTTTAAAATTTTTTAATATTAAATATTCATAAAAAACAGGTAATTAAACCAACACTGTCAAGATGGTCTGAAAGTGGTCATGTTCATTTTGTGGCAGCTGGAGAGTTCCATACTCTTTACTTGACTAAATTAGGGCATTTGTATTCCTGTGGTAGTAATGAAGTTGGTCAGCTTGGAAGACAAACTGAATCAAATGAAGGGAAAACTCCAGGTAATTACACAATCAATTAGTAGTCAAATTCCCTATTTTTAAAATTATAATTCTTTCCAAAAATGATCTATGTATATTGCAATTATGTTTTTATATAATTTTTCAGCATTAGTAGAAACATTTAAAGGATGTACACTATCGTCAATTGCATGTGGTCTTCAGCATTCAATGGCTTTGGATGAATGGGGGCAACCATTTAGTTGGGGCTCTGATAGCATGGGACAGCTGGGTAGCAATCTTGGTGCTCATGCTCAAGATAAACCTAAAATTATTAAACTTTTAGCTACAAAAAATGTTATCCAAGTAGCCTGTGGATCTTATCACTCACTTGCTTTAACTAATAGTAAGTGTGATTTATAATTATTTCTTATTAATTTGTAAATTGAAAAAAATATATTATTATATTTATTGTCTGGGCTTTCTGGCCAAATAACACAAATAAATATTATAATCACTATTAATTAACTGCATATGGTTGTTTATAAGTCAATGTCTCATAATTTACGTACAATTTTTTTATGAAAAATTATGCATGACATTTGATTCAATAAAAAAGTTTATTATTATAAAAATTGACTCAAAGTAGGAGTTTAATATTTTATAATTTTACATGGATATTCTTTTAAATAAAATATTACTGTTAAAATAAAATGTTACTCTGATAATTTCTAAAATTCAATTTAATTGAAAATTTAATGCATATACCTACTTATTGATATATTTAGATGGTGATCTCTATGCCTGGGGTGCCAATACATATGGACAGTGTGGATTGGGAACCAAAACAAATAAGGAAACTAAACCACAACAGATAACTTCTCTACTTGGCATACCAATAGCACTGATTGCATGTGGTAGTAACCACACTTTTGCATTATCAAAGCAAGTATAAAAGTGAATTAACAACTATTACTACTAATTAAGTACATGTATTTATTATCAGAAAAATAAATAAAAGAGTTATTTGTTTTTGTAACTAACATTGTCCTGATCGTGGATAACTCTTTCTAATTTTTTTTTTACATATATCAAGAAACATGTAGGTATATTATTTAAATAATCATGATATGCATTAAAGATTATTATATAAAATAAAGAATGATAAATTTAATATTAAATGTATATTTCCTATAAGGTCTGGCGCCGTATTTGGTTGGGGAAAAAATAGCCATGGTCAATTAGGTTTACAAGATAGAGAAAATAGATGCTACCCAGCTCATTTAAAAACACTCAGAAATGTCAAGGTAACTGTTAATATATTATCGAAACTAATATAATTTCTGTATCATACTATAAATATTAATAGATTTATGTAAACATAGAATGTATTTGTATTCAAAGGTTTGCCATATAGCATGTGGTGAAGATTTTACTGCTTTTCTAACTCTTGATGGAGGAGTGTTTACATGTGGAGCAGGAGAGTATGGACAAACAGGCCATGGAAATACAAAAGATGAATTGGTCCCAAGAAAGGTCTGTTTTTCATATATAAGTAGTTATTATATTGTAGTGATAAATAATCATAAATCAGTGTTGCAATGTTATAATTTATATATGATTCAATATGAGTGAGGCGGTCCTGAGTGTCATACATACTTTAATTGATAGTCGAGAGACAGTTCTTGACCAGTGAAGAGGACTATAGCGTGATCCCCTTCGCACTAAGAGGCTCAGGCCCAGCAGTGGGACGTTAAAATAGGCTAAATACATAGTATAATAAATATGGTTTTAAAAACACACTTTTGACAAATTGAAATGTGTGGGATTTGTCAAAATGAATCATATAAGACCAAACTTGAGAGGCTTACTGGTGGCCACTGAAAGTTTCACTATCCTCTTTCTGGCTCCATTATGAGATCAGCTCCAAGATACCAAATTATAGTACTGTCTACAAAGTTTCATTTTGATACCACAATTAGAAGAGTTGGATTTCAGGTGATGGAGCTAATGGGCAGCACAGTGACGCAGGTGGCGTGCGGGCGCCGCCACGTGCTGTGCCGCGTTGGCGAGCGCGTGCTCGCGTGCGGGTACGGCGCGCGCGGACAGCTCGGCTGCCCGCACCTGGCCTTCGCGCTGGTGCCCACGCCCGTGCCATTCACGCCCACTGATGACTCACCTGTGAGTATGTTTAGGGTTTTTTAAGGTTTTCTACTGAATAATTGTCGAGTTCACTAAGCTTTTTGCTCATCTATTTGGGGAAGTTTTATTTCTTTGAACCCTAACAGGTAGTATGTCATCATGATATCAACACGTCATAATATTGTAGAATATGGTTGTTACGACGGTTAACATATGACGTATAACTTATAGGTATATTATACACGCATTAAAAATAGATTCTAAGGTTTTTTTGCCATATTGCTAAAACGAAAAACATACGATGATCTTTAAAATTGATCTGATTATAGTACAAACAATAACTAATAAAAACTGGTCAAGTGTGAATCAGATTTGGCCGATTTTCTAATTCTCTTGCTAGTTTCTACCTATAACGAAACAACAACAGTTTATTTATATCATTTAAATAATACATAATTAATATTTGTGTGCACTTTTTTTCGTCATAGATATGTCGATGGACTAATCAATGCTATGCGAAGTTAAGGAAATATCCCATAGGTCGAGAATAAAGTCGAAAGCGATAAGGGTAGCGATTTTTTTTCCTGGTATGATTTGCGATCAGTCTTTTGACTATAAGCAAATTTGTTGAGAGATTGCTGTTATGTGGAGTGGATCCTCATTAGGATCTAATCTCCTTCATTATTCAGGCTAGAATTATAATGCTAGATCTAGTATGGCTTTTCTTTTGAGACGTCTTGGACATTTATCATCCAGAAGTCTGTGTGCTAGCAAGGGGTAGCAATGCGTAAACCTTGTTGCAATTTGTATGTTTGTTGTGTATAGGATGTCTATCATTTTAATAACCTTTTAAATAACTATTTCTAAATTGGCGAAAATGCTTTTGCATATTTTATATGTATATTATATACGATTTGCAAAAAGTACTTCTATGTCTTAGTGCTCTACAATAGATAATGCTAAAATGTAGTAATTTTCATTATTATAGCATTATGACATTTTCCTGCATTTATAAATAATAATAGTCTTGATATTATATTTATGTAATGTTAATATTTTCAAGGGTACATTATTTAAGATAATATAGAATGTCTAATCTGAAATAATCCATAAGTATTAAATGATGGGAATTATTTTGATACTAATCTATGATCTTTTAGATACAATGCAGCCAGCAAAAGGGAATATGCGTGATTTTATTTTTTAATTCTTACACAATAGCTGACATCGGTATATAATTGTAAAAAAAAAATATCCAGCTCCAAAAAACTAAAATTTAATATAAATTAAAAAGAATATATATCATACCGGTACGAATACTATAAACGCCCGCCATTTCGCACGTTTGGCGTGACGTCACAGTATGATATACACAGGAAAATGACGACTCAATTTGTAGCGACAAAATCGCTTATCGCTCTGTAATGTAAAACTTTGACGTCATATTCGGTCTAACTATGAATTTCCCACCTATGTTTGCCCTTTTTAATATTTTTTTCTTAATCAAAAAGAAATTACAGAAAAAAATATGGATATATGTATAATTCAAAAGCAATAAAGATTATAAAAAAAATATGTCACCTTTACTTAAATCACACGCATATTTCCTATAGATATTTATGTGCAAGCAAATTACTATTTAAGAATAATTCCTCCTTTGAGCTTCGCCGTAGTCGGGTAAAAATGGCATTCATATAATGTTGTGTATGCAGTATATATGTGTAGCAGTATATCTTTTGTTATATAAGTTATTTTATTAAGTCCCATACTATGTTACATATAATTTGATTGTAATTTATATACATTTACATTTCATATATCAACATGGTAGGCTAATTATTAGGTACTATCAACAATGTTGGTTGTGACTTTTACTAAATATATTTGTTTCAAACAGACAGATGATCATGGACAATATATGGTAAATATAATAATTTTAACCTATTACCAAATGTTGTTTATGTAGAATTGTAGGTCATTTATATCTTCTGTATAATTTTCACTCATATCATTTTAGATTATGTTTATTATAATGAGATATTCAGTAGTTTTTTTTTACTTTATATAGTAGTTACTCTTGTGCTTTATTACTTTCGTAGCTATATTCACAATCTTTATAATACCTGCCTATTGCCATACGTAAATTCATAATTTGATTTTTCGGTTTTATTAAGTAACTTGAATATTGAGCTTGCAGTTTATCGATTCTTTGCTCTTTTGGCTAACAGAATAACAGAAAATACTTTAATGATGAATATTACATTAATTTCCAGTTAACCGTAAATATTATAATCCTATAGAGAATGATGGTTAATAATGCTGATAAAACACAATTTAACGATATGTCCTTTATTGAACCATAGTTTAACACAATACTAACATTGGACTATGCTTCTTAGCCAAAGAAGAAATTGAAGGTGGAGAGTTCCGCGAGATATAAGCACAGTGTCGCTGGCCCCTCCAAACTTAATGTTGAGTTATTCCCTTATTAACCGTCTATTATATATAGTATATTCTTGTATTTTATTAGCTATCCTTCATATGCCTTATTATTATTATTTAATATTATTTGCTATATTGTCTTCCTCTAATAGAGTAACAGTTTTAGTTAGAGTAGACTTTGTATTTAAGCATGCTCAACTCTTTGTTGTTCATTGTCTTTTGCGTAAAATAGGTTTTTTGATTATGTCAATATGTTTTGATTATGTCAATATAATATTTTATATCATATAATAAATTTACGTGCTTTAAATAAAAATTGGCTTTTAAATTAATATTCTTATACCTAACCAAATATTCCACATATTTTTTAGATTATCTATATTATATTAAATCTATAATTGATTTTTTTTCAGTTCCCGCCAGATATATTCAACGGCACCATAAGAGTGTTTGCGGGCGGCGACCACAGTTTCCTAGTGATAAACAATGATAAAACAATGACGTCTGATTTGCGAATACCTGACAGCAAAAAGCAAATACTTACATTGAATATGTATAAATTGACCGCTTGTCAGTTCTTCAAGGATAGTGATGTTGTTAATCAAGTAAGAACTATTCTATAACAGGTGGCTTTTAAACATCATCTTATTCTTAATACTAGATAAATCACATAACTTTGTATCTATTATATTTGTATTAACAAAACTATTTGAAGGTATAGAAAATTAGCTCTGTAGCAGTATTTAATTTATAGAAATAATATTTAATTATTATAACATATATTTAATTATTATAGCATAACAAATAATCTAATTATGGATTATAAATTTGTAAATATTATTTACAGGATCTCATGGTATATTTGGAAACTGTCTTTGGTTCTCTCGCCTGTATAAATGGTTCTTTCTTAATGGAACAAAATTCTCACTTCGGATGCAACACTAAAGTACCTGGAGTAGATTTAAAAAAAGCAGAAGAGGCTTTTACTATGATAAGTCGATTTGAGAACTCAAGTATACAGGAGATTGTAAGTATTTACCGTAGTAAGATATACACTATCAAAATACATTAATTTCGGCTTAGTCTACTTAATCTACTTGCATGTAGAGCTTAATCAAAGAAAATGCAAAATGTGGGCATAAGGAAAGATTATTTTTATTTGTATTTATTTTTTTGTTTGTAGCTGTGAATTTTGTTCTTAAGAAATAAATAAATTTCTCTATGATGCAACAAATAAATATAATTTTTTTGTATAAACTATACAATTATTTATTTTTTATAAATATTTAGATTTTTTCTAATTTACAAAAGGCCACTACTTATTGTAACTAAATATTTATCATAATTAAATTATTAAAAATATTTAAAGGTCATATGGCAGAATACTTTAAAATATTATAGGTAATAGAAGAAGAATTTTAATTTTTATGTATTTTCACATAGATATTCAACCACTTAACAGAACAAATAATAAGGAAAGTGAAGGTGTCTCCGCCTGATGCTGAAGCACTAAGGTTGTTTTTGATACTACCCTTGTATCATGAGATGAGAAATCCACGACGACACCCGGAATTGCAGGTATAGAAAAATCCTGCATGATATATGTGTTTGAGTCATTTATTTAAAAGACTCCTTCACTTTCATTCAAATAACATTTGGTTGGGCTATAATTATTTTAATTTGGCAGCAAAATCGGCAGTAATTATATCTATATTATAGCAAAAAAAAAGATACAATTTTTAGTACATAATGACACTTTAAAAGAAATGTGTAATTGAAATTCATTCATGGTTTAGGAAATTCATAAATTATAAACCTGTAATATTTTAAAATTTATGTTACAATCGTTAAAAAAAGAAATTTTCTGTGCAGATATAGTTACACTGTAAAATTTTCTCAAATAACTTAGAACAACAAATAACTGTCCCAAATATGAAATATATGTTTATACGTTATCGTATATACCTAATAAGCTACGCAAATGTCAGGCATAAACAAGATCCAGTAAAAAGCAGTAGAAAGCAGTATCCAGATAGATAAGGTTTTGTCATTTAAAAACGGAATTTTTATACAAAAGTTTAGGCACAGTCTAATAATTCATATTGGCGGCTACTACATCGTACGGCAATCGGAAGCTATGCCACAAGAGGCATGGAATTCGTTCGTTCGCCATGAAAATCGGTATTTTTTACTGTATGGATTTTCATACTGCGCTTATACCTTATGGCAAGAGTGAGATAGGGATATATTGTGTCTGTTGTGCTTACATACTTATACTAATTTAGGTTATAATTTATGGTAAAGTTGGGTTATATAATAAACTAGCGGCTCACCCTCTCTTCCCTCGGGTTCGCCTCTAGACAAACAAAAACAAATCTTTTCCACAGGAACCGTATATTTTCAGGGATAAAAAGTAGCCTCTTTGGTATTCTGATGTATGAACTATATTATTGTAAAGTTTTAATAAAATCCAATCAGTAGTTTTTGTGTACTAAGCTGTATAAGTTACTATTGTTTTTTAACTCCAACTCCACTCACCGTCACAACTCCACTCACTTCACTCAACCCACTACAACTTCAACCTTTAAATTTCTGGGATGAAAAGTACTTATCTAAAATGTTGACCGGGAAATAAGTTAGTCGAAGATTAGTCCGTACAAACAGATATACAGACAAATAGACAGAGAAACAAACAAATTGAAAAAATCTTCTATTTTTCTTCTTACACCCCCCTGACTCGGTTTTTATCATTTTTTTTCTATGTATTCGACCTCTACAGTTTTATTATATGTATAGATTGTACATGTGTTTGTGCACAGGGCCCGTTCGCGGAGGCGTTCAACAATCTGTCCACGCACCCGCAGCGCATCGTGCAGCTGTGGTGGCAGGCGCAGTCGCCCGACTACTTCGAGATGTTGGTGGACATATTCAAGAGCGTCTTCGTGTACGAGCTCATGCAGCCGGCTGTCAGGGCTAGTAAGGTTTGTTGGTATTTTTTTTAATCCTATTATTGTAAAGCTAAAGTGGTAAACATACAAGTGGTCATGTGTGGATCGATGAAACGAATTTTGATGAATCTTTGCGATCAGGTATCAAGGTGAACGCTGGAATATAATAATACGTCACTTTATCATCTCAATGCTGAGCCTCTCTTCAATATGAGCAGAATTAATGAAGTCTTTAGAAATTTAGTTAATACTTTAAGAAATTCAAGATTCTCCGTGACGTTTTCTTATCTGTTAGTGGTTTTATAAGTTTTGATAAATATATGTTTTTTTTTATACTAGTGACCAACCTCAGTTTTACCATGGTGTTTATATTTTAATAGTCTTATCTCTCATCTTAAATCATTTCTTTGCTTATTCCCGTCATTATATCAAGGTTCAATATTTACAAGGTTTAATTAACTAAAGTTTCATCAAAGTCGGTCTAGTATTTCTTGCATGCTACTCGAAAAGACATAAATTTTTCCGATTTGTACTCATATACAGATAAAGGATCCAACTACAAAACTTACTCTACTTACCTACTTAATGTGTTCACACTCACTTATAAAATTATTATACTATCCCTAAAGCGTCACAAATAATAATAAAAATTGAAAAGTTTTACGGACTCTACTTGACCGATTTTTTGTGAATATCGTAAATCATCAGACATCCGGCGTCTTTTAGATACCTCAAAGACATCAAGACTTTAAGTAAAATAATTTATTTGGCAATGTATAGATTTAATTATACCTTTTTTTACAGAGGGTAAATTTCTCTAGAAGTATAATACAAATATTAAATACTCTGATAACACTAAATAAGATCAACTTTACAAATCCCAAAAAACCTAAAATACCTGCAGAATGTTTCTATGTAGAAGAATTATCAAGCCATGTTGATATCGCTGCAGATTATATTGACTGGCTTTCAGACCAGGATGTAAGTACACCGACATAGATATACGTAGTAGTGTAAGTGGTTTTAATATATCGATGAATCCTAATGGGCTAAAGTAAATGACAATTTTACTTTTATATTTCTTTTTTACTTATTTTTTATAGTATGAGAAAAATTTAATGATAATCATGTTTGTAAATTCAAATCATTTGACTAAAAGTTTATTATTTTTTTATGTTTATTTATAAAGTGCAGTGTTGTAAAATAACGGCGAATATTAAATTATTTAAATTCTTAAAGGTATTAAAAATTATTATCATAGTAAATTCTCGGACTTTTGTAATTTTCGGGTAACCTGTCTTAAAGATTTACTGGAGTTATATTATTATAAGATACAGACATTTGGGCTGAACAACTTCAAAATAATTATGTATTCTGTATTTTCTAAGTCTATAATCAAATATGTTGGCAGTCCATGTGTAGCAACGGCCAGTCCTATCTCAGGACAAAACTTTAGGTATACCACACAAAAAATAAAGCTTGAAGCTACCATAACTAACAGCTCATCCTCTTTCAGTCCGTAAAGCCTCACCTATGCAATTACGCGTTCCTCTTCGACGTGCAATGCAAGTCCTTGCTATTGAAAATCGACCAGCAGTTACAAATGCAAATGGCGATCACCCAGGCGGCCACGCAGATGTTCACCCGCCTCATAATGGACCCCACGTACGAGTACCAGCGCGACCAGTTCCTCATACTGACGGTGTCGAGGCGGCACCTCGTGCGGGACACTATGACGCAGATCAGCAATCATGACACATCGCAGTTGAAGAAGCCGTTAAGAGTAAGCTTAGGTTAATTTTATGGATGATGATGCAATAATGAAACGGTATCTATGTCATTTAAATAAAGTAAACGCCGTTTGTAATCTCAAATATTTATAAAATTCTTGTGTCACAGTGTTTGTAACAAAAGTCCTCCGAAACGGCTTGACCGATGAAATTTTGTGTGTATATTCAGTAGGTCCGTCCACCCCAAATTTTATTTTTATTTTTGGTCATTTTTTTATTTTATTTTTTTTTGATTCGGCGTTAAAAATACATACAACCCTACATTTTCACCAGGGACGAAACTGTATAATAACTTTGGAGAATACCTCAGTCTCTCCAGTGACAATGAAACTTAGGAAATCATAAATCAAAAACAAAAACCACCAAATACATATAATATAATTTGATTTAGTGTGTTATATAACTAAGCACATTATTTGTTTCAGGTAGAGTTTGTGGGAGAAGAAGCAGAAGACGCTGGTGGTGTGAAAAAAGAGTTCTTTTTGTTGCTACTAAAGGAAATTTTTGATCCAGTGTATGGAATGTTTAAACAGTCCGAGGAGACTAATATGATATGGTTCTCTAATAATCCGTTTGAAGATGATGTTATGTACTACCTAATAGGTAAGCAAGAGTAGATTACCTTAATGATACCAGATTATTTTTTTACCTAGGATATTGATTACTTCTCATTTTACTCAAATCTGTTAGTTAAAGACGATACAGGGTGAAATTGCACTTACAAACCGTCGAAGTCACGTATTTCGAGTGTGTAACAATAATGTGAATTATTGTGATAGTTTCAATCCTTTGACTATATTAAAAGGGTCAAGAAGAAGGGAGTTCAAAGGATTGAAAATTATGAGATCTTTTGGATAAAATGTTAACAATTGTTTAAATTGTGTTCTATATAATATAATATTTATTATTATTATTATTGTGTTGGGTGTGGTGCCGAGGTCGGCCCTAGCTACGTCGACCAGTTTTGGTCCATTGTAGCTCCCTTTATAGTGAGTTCAAAGTTCTCCGCTTAGTCCTGTTGACTCCAGGAACTTCCAGATTTTCTGAGCGGGGAGCATCTGTATCTCTTCCGGTTGCATAATATGCTGCCCTAGATAGATATTTCTGCGGTGCTTGAGTGGACCGCACGAGCAGAGGATGTGCATAGCAGTTTCCTCTGTCTCATGGCATAGTCTGCACATTGCGGTCTGACTGAGGCCGAGAGTAAACATATGTTTATTGAGTTTGCAGTGACCAGTAAGTATTCTGGTTACTGCACTGGTTTTATACTTGTTGAGTTGAAGCAACTCTTTTGTAAACTTTCTGCGATATCCCTTAATTAGCGCTTTAGAGTGTATTTGTCCAGAAGTGGATTGCCACTCTTGAAGTGCTTGGCGATTGCAGTGAATTTTGAGAATTGAATAGGCATGTTGTTTTGCAATACCACAAAATGGTTCTGGGCCACATACTGGGGTTTCAGCACCCCTTCTTGCCAGTGCATCAGCCTTTTCATTCCCATCTATGCCTAAGTGACCCGGGACCCATCTGAGGGTAACTCTGTTGGATGTGCCCAGGACATTCAGATTTTCCTTACAGTCTTTGACCAGCTTAGAGTTGGTCTCAAGAGAATCTATAGCCAAAAGTGCTGCTTGGCTATCTGAGTTGATGTAGATATTTTGGTTTCTAAGCTTCCTCTCCAGGATGACTTCAGCACATTTGTTGATGGCGAAGACCTCGGCTTGGAAGATGGTGGCCTCCTTGCCCAGATTGACACTCATGTCAAATCTAGGCTTAAGGCCATAGATACCGCACCCTACATCAGATCCTTTCTTGGATCCATCTGTGAACCAAACATGACTGCCCTTTTTGTGAGACTCTTGGTTTTTTAGCCACATGTCCCGGTTGGGAAGATCTATTTGGTACTGTTTTGCGAAGTTAAACTCTGTACTCATGCCATCGACTGGCATTTTCAGAGTTTTGTGTTCGAATGTCAACTCTTTGAGTTTGTTCATATATTGCGATTGCAACTTTACATTCGATTGTGTACAGAGCCTGTAGAGGCAGGATTTAGCTTCTTTTTGCACGTGGAGATATAGCGGAGCTATGTCCAACAAAGCATTTAGAGCGTCGCCTGGTGCCGAATGGAAGGCTCCCGTGATGATTAGACATGCCATCCGTTGTATGCTGTCTAGTTTACTCATAGTTGTCTTTTGTTTGGTTTTGTTACACCATACGACTGAGGCATATGTTATGATCGGCCTTACCACGGCGGTGTACATCCAGAGAGCCATTTTGGGTTTGAGGCCCCACTTGGCTCCAGCCATTCGACAACATATCCAGAGGGCCATTTTGGCTTTTTGTATAATGTTGTTGAGGTGAGAGTTCCAGGTCAACTTTTGATCAATAGTGACTCCAAGGTACTTTACCTCATTTGATAGGTTAAGGGTTTTGCCATTGAGTCTGAGTTCAGTCAGCCTTTCAAGCTTCCTTTTCCTGGTAAATGGTACAATAACTGTTTTATCAGCGTTTATTGATAATTCATTTTCTCTGCACCATCTTGTGATGGTATTGAGAGCTCTTTGTAACCTGGTGGAAATTGTGTTCAGGCAGGGACCTCTTACTACTACAACAAGGTCATCTGCATAGCCCTGTGTATCGTAGTCAATATCTGCCATGATTACAAGTAGTAGGTCTACAGCTAGTGTCCATAATAGGGGTGAAAGCACTCCTCCTTGCGGACAGCCTCTTGTAGTGTGGAAGTTGTGCGAGTGTTCGTTTAACGTAACTTTCGCACACCGGTTGGAGAGCATATATTCCACCCATCTGGTGGTTGTGATATCAACACCTTTTGCATTTAATCCTTTCAGGATGGTTGCCGTAGGTGTGTTATCAAAAGCCCCCTCAATGTCCAAAAATGCACATAGAGCTGTCTGCTTATCCTCTAGGGACCTTTCTGCCTTGTCGACCAGAGCTACTAAGGCAGATTCTGTGGATTTACCCTTTTGGTAAGCATGTTGGTTGCAGGAAAGTGGTCTAGCCACAAGATACCTTGTTCTAATGTGCTGATCGATTACTTTTTCCATTGTTTTTAGTAGGAAAGAAGTAAAACTAATAGGTCTAAAGGATTTGGGCTGCGAGTAGTCTTTTTTACCGATCTTCGGTATAAAGATAACCTTGACCTTAGTCCATTGTTCTGGTATAATGCCCCAAGCAAAGCTTGCTCTAAATAATTTTACCAGATGCGGGATAAGGAGTTCCATGCCCTGTTGAAGCAGAGCTGGAAAAATTCCGTCTTCCCCTGCTGATTTAAATGGTTTGAATTTTTTCAAAGCCCATCTAATCTGGTTAGGCCTAAAAATGGTATTGGCCATCTTCCAGTCGCAACTATTTGCCCTGTGGATGTAGTTTTCCTTTGGGTTTGATTCACTGCCGGTGACAGGGTACGATCCTGGGAAATGGGTTGCTCTTAAAAGTTCCAGCGTCTCCATCTCTGTGGTCGTGAAGGAATCGTCTCGCTTTTTTAAAAAGCCCAGAAAGATGTTTGGTGTCTTGGCAAGGACCTTGTGGATTCTCGCTCCTTTATGTGTTTGGGCGATATTCTCACAGAATCGTTTCCAAGATGCTCTTTTAGCTTTTCTGATCTCTTTGTGGTATTTAGTCAGAGCCTTCTTATACCGTTCCCACCCATACGGTGTAGTGGCCTGATTAAATAAGCGACGTGTGGAAACTCTAAGTCGTTCTAGCTTTTTGTTAATGTTGATATTTAACTTTGATAGGATATTCCTACAATAGCACAGGTAACCACTAAGAAAGGATTAATATCAAATTCAACTTCTAAAAATGTGAAGTGTCAAAATTTATAAATAAATAAAATAATGTCTTAATCTGTTTCAGGTGCAATTTACGGCCTTGCGATATACAACTCCATTATTATCTACGTGCCATTCCCGCTAGTGCTATACAAGAAGTTGCTCGGCGAGTCGATCATGTTGGACGATCTCTCCGACTTATATCCCACGTTGGCTAACAGCCTCAGACATCTGCTAGAGTACCCAGATGAGGATGTGGAGGATGTGAGTTGATTCGTACTAATACCACAGTATTCAGCCTTTTTTTAAGTCCCACTGCTGGGCACGGGCCGTCCTTTAATACGAGGGGGATCAGGCCATACCACGCTGGCCAAGTGTGGGTCGGAGGACTTCACATATCTTTTGAAAACTTGCTAGGTTCTTTCAGACATGTAGGTTTCCTAACGATGTTATCCTTCACCGTTAGGCAAGTGGTAATCATGTTAGAAATGATTCGCACATGAAAATATTAGAGGTGCGAGACCCGGGATTTGAATCCGCTTCACTCGAATTCCCAAGCGAGCGCGTTAGCACTGGGCTACCACTTGTTTTTTATACCATTACGTCATCTCGACAGGGCAATTGTGCACCCGACTTGTCATACTTACTTTTATATGACAGTCGGGAACGGCTATAGGGTTGAGGTTTTAACTGTAACATGCCACGAGATCGTAAAACAGTGTACACAGTCGGTTTAGCTTCGAAGCCGTAATCCATGTAAATTGTTAGTTTTTGGCAACCCTTGCATTTGACTTGATTAATTAGCTCTTGGCTTAAATTATTTTTCTTTCGTTGTATTGTATAAAAATAATGTGTGGTACGTCAATATAATGCTGTATATATTAATTAAATCAGTAATAACAATATTGTTCAGTCGAAAGGATCGAATCTGTGCTGTAATGAAAATTTAAGTTTAATAATTGTGATAAGTTTTAATATGATGGTATGTATAGTTTACGCTTTATGATATAATATTTCTATTCTAATTTAACTTAAGTTGTATTAAAATTATCATCTAACGTCTTATCTGGACCATCATTGTTTTATTTCACTAAAATATTATGCGTTTTTTTTAGGTATTTAGTCTCTGTTTCGCTGTAAACACTGTAGTGTTCGATGAAATTCAAGTACATCCGTTAAAAGAAAACGGCGAAAACATTCCCGTGACGTTCGAGAACAAGACTGAATACGTCGACTTGTATGTCGACTTTTTGCTCAATAAATCTGTAGAAAATCAATTTAATGCGTTTAACCAAGGTTTCCAAAAGGTATATTTTTGTTTTTAATTTTTTATTCAATCTGCGCCATTTGTCTTCAACTACAAAAGACATGTATAATTTGGTATGAACTACTTGACGCTAAATATTTTGTTGCAATGTAAATAAAACAAATATACACTACATCCATCCATTTTGTCCGTCATTTTGTCTGTATTTATATGCTACTTTAATATATTTAAACATTAATAAACATTCACACTGACTTTGACATTAATTAAATTAGTGTGCTAACACTGGAGTCAACATATATAAAACAGGTGTGAAACAAAAGTAGATTCTCAAATCTTATGTATAGCGTGAAGGGTTTTACTATGCAAATTGAATCTATACAAAAAATTTTTATTAATAAATATTTTATTTATAGGTTTGTGGTGGTCGCATAATAAAATTATTCAGATCTCATGAACTCATGTCAGTTGTCATCGGCAATGAAGAATATGACTGGGAGGTATTTGAAAGCAATTGCGAATATAAGGATGGCTATAGCTCTTCAGATCCACAAGTCAGGTAATATAGTGTAGTAACATTTTAGATTCTTTTTAGATTTATATATCGACGTGTTTTAATTTGTAATTTGGTCACCAAAAATAAAAAAAATGTGAGAGAGAGTTGAGTCCAACCGTTGTATCGTCGTTAAAATGAACGTACGTATGTACATCATAATAAAATTGTATGCACTTTTTGTAAATTAAATATTTTTATCAAATTTATTAGATAGCAGCTTCGCTCGCGCTAAAACTACAAAAAAATCTCTAAAAAGGTAGTTTCATACAAAATTTCACTGTTCTGTTTTACCTCCTTATAGGATTAAATTCGAAAAATGCTAAAATACGTATTTATTTAATTTTATTGAAGAGCATTAATACCAAGTTTGAAGTAATTCTGATCATAAATATTTATCTGGACTATATTATAACGTCTTTTCCCGTGGGAAATTAGATTATCTCCCACGGCAAAAAGTAGCCTATGTCACTCTCCAGCCCTCCAACTATCTCCAAAAAAACACGCCAATCCGTTACTCCGTTTTGACGTGAAAGAAGGACAGACAAACAAACAAACAAACAAACACACTTTCACATTTATAATATTAGTATAGATTTACTGCTTTTTGCTCTATTTCGATTGGTAGGAATGGGAGTTATTTTTAGTCATAAACAATATTATATAATAAATTACTTTAAATAGATGAATATTGTCTACAGATGGTTCTGGGAAGTGTTTCATGAATTGTCGATCGAAGATAAGAAAAAGTTCCTACTATTCCTAACCGGTAGCGACCGCGTGCCCATACAGGGCATGAGAGATATCAAAGTAAGTGCTTTCCAAGTGTTGACAATACACATACATATTTATCAGAAGGTGTCGTTGTTCAGAAGAGCTTTGTTATAATTGATATCTATATCTCCATATTATTATTATAAATATTAAAAAAGCTCTAAATATTTTAAAAAATAGAGTATGCATAGTATGTTCTGAAGGCGACAGACTCAACCAAAAAAGTACTGGATGTAGCGCGCAGTGCGATGTGTATGTACTCAATATACTCTAAGTCCTAAACTATTGGCGATCACGTTATAATTTTTTTTGTGAAGAATTAAGGTATTCAATTCAAAGCTTTATTTCAAAGTTAAAATATTGAAAAAAAATTATGTCGAAGTTACTCAAACATCCATTTGAAATTTTCACTTCCGGTTTACTATACGTAAAAAGAATCAAATTTGTTATTCAATAAAAAAATTAAAAACTGCATCCTTTTAACTTTCAGAAACGATATTTTTTAGATATTTTTACAAATTGATTGATACAAATAATAAGCATTCAAAAAGTACGGATTTCATACTTCGTAAATTTTTAAAAGCTCATAACTCGGCAATAAAGCCTCATACGAAAAAAAATTATATATTTGCACATCCATGTCCACTAGAACTATAACTGACCAGAGTATGAACAATTTTCACAACCTCACTTTATTTTCGTTGTCCGCTTCACGTGAAATGCCCCATATTTTTTTCTTTTTTGAGTACTGTTTGTATACCTGTTATTTGTATACCTTACTTGATATCTTCAACAATTGATAACTGAATTCCTTGATTCTTTTTCTAATGAAAAACCATTTTATCTTTAACAATGGTCACATAAACTTAATTAGAAGATTGTTTAATAATTATATATTTTAAAGTGATTTTAAATTCCGTAAAAATACACAATTATATTTAAAAACTTAATAATAACAGATAAGAATCCAGCCAGTAGCAGACGATAGGTACTTCCCGGTAGCGCACACGTGTTTCAACCTTCTCGACTTGCCGCGCTACAAGACCAAGGAGCGCCTCAAGTACCACCTGCTGCAGGCGATACAGCAGACGCAGGGGTTCTCGCTGGTGTGATACTGTACCTGTAAGTACACCACGTCATTGTAATTGCTCTACATCGGATTATGTGCACTATATGATCGCGAATCTTCTATGAGGATAATTAAATGCTCTTACAATCCTTACGAATAACCTCTTTGGGTTTTAACTGATTGAGGTTTTAATTAATATTTTATAACGACAATACGTCATGTCTAAACGCTGGTCTATATGTCCAATGTTATGCTTTTTTAAAATACAACCAGCAACGGGTATTAGCATTATGTTTCAAATGTGTATAGTGAAATTGTTGGTTTTGATACTTGGATATAGGTTTTTTTACCATGACTAACCCATTTTGCCGCAATAAGTACACGATCATTGGAATTATTGAATTTATAATTTAGTTTCTTTAATATATGCTATTTTTGTATATTTCTACTATTTCATTTGTTTCTGTTTTAAGTAAAATACATTTGATAATTATTTAAATTCGTTATTTGTTTCGAAAATGCTCCATTTATCATTTTCAAATAATAATAAAACAATGGCCACATACTTTTTTTAAAATATATAATGGATAGTTAATGTTATTTTCTAAAACTTTGTAAAGTAATTCTCATTTACACAAACATGTTATCATCTTGTGAAGATGAAAATAAGAATAAAAACATTTACAATGGCCTCAAACATTTTTGTTATTTTGGGGCGACTTTATAATGTACTAGTCAATGTATAGGATTTTGAAACAAGCGGGAATTGAACCTGTGTTTTCCAGCACGGATGCAAATACCAAATTAGTAAAATTCTATGCTACCTCGATTTTAATTAATTGACTTTAACTGATAACTTTTAGTACAAGCGTTGTTCGAACATTACTCATAATAATAATTATTTATTATTATTGTTGATCAATTTTTATCAACTTCGGCAGTTGTATTTTATTAATGTAAATTAAAAGAAATCTAAGTTTTTGTAAAAGTACTCTTATGTCAGAAAAACGTTACATAAAGCTAGCTTGATAATAATAAAAAAAACACGGCGCTAAAATATCTTATTTTTATATGATAACTGTTATATGTTTTCTGTACTAGCAGACACGCCCTACTTTTGTATAGTTTCCTTAAACATAATAAAATACTAATAAATTCTTAAAAATTTTGAGGTACTTAAGTTGAATTTTTCATGCAAATTTTAATGCATATTTAGTAAAGATCCGACATGTAACTACAACCACATATTTATATAAAGGGGGAAAGTAGCTTGATGTTTAATTGAGTGTTTAATGGTTAAACATTTTAATAATTAATTACCATAAATACGAGTAAATCTCATGATCCATTTTAGTAAGAGTATACAACACCATTACGCCATACTTCACTCATCACTGGTACTAAGTACGTGTATAAATATTGTGATAGTGGTGATTTTAATGTTTTAAATTGTTTTTCAAGCATATTGTTTATAAATGCCTTAGTATTTACTTGTTCAAATCACCAATACTTACAGTGGAGAGTTTTTTATCTTAACTTTAAAAACAAAACTTAATTACTAAGATTTATATGCATACATACATACTATATATATAAATAAACTCTTTCGATAAATTGGTCGTTTGGACAAATAAGCACGATACGATATGTCGACAACTGAATTTTAAAAACGAATGACAAAAGAATTCCTAAAAATCTTGCTTGCGAACTTTGTTGTACGATTTATAAGGTGCATTCATAGTCATTTCATAATAAATAATTCTTCTACATTTCTGAATTTAAAATCATTGTGAATTTAAAAATTATTAAAATTTGCAAATATATAAAAATTGTAAATATCCGTATGTTAACTATTTACCTTCCTTTCTTCCAGCAATACCATGTACACTAATACTATATCTTGTGTTTCCAATAAAGACCGCTAATTATAAAATAATAATTAAACTAACAAATTATAGCGATGTTGTTGTTTTCTTAAAAATCAAATATATATATTGCAAGCATACAAAACTAGCCCCTATTAGGAACCTTGATTGATTCACTATTATAGGTAATATATTTTTACCATTCAGCATTTTAATAATATTCGGAAATAAAAACGAGTTTGAATGTTTCCATACCATATTATTTATGCTATATTATGAATCTTTTTCGTTTACTTCCATACTTGATGGTATATATATGATCTAATCTTTTTTTTTTTAACGTTGGGAAATGCATTTACGCACGAAGTGTGGGACTCACCGGCGAAGCCATTACTACCCACTAAAACCCAACAAAACTTTCCCCCGTCTTAATGGGGCGTCGCAGGATCGCTTACGCATTCAACTACGACGCCCCGACGGCAGGTCTGCCGAAGCAGACCACAACAACCATGGGGTTGCTCCACGGTCCACTCTGCTATCAGAGAAGTACCAGGAGCAACCCGCATGGTACACCACCCTCCGAAGAAGGCCGTCTCCCACCGCCCACCGAAGCGGGCTACCTCCCTGTGCGTTTCTTGGCTTCGCGAGTACACTACTGAGCCCCCCCACCACGACAAGGTGAACGCACGTTGGGGGGGATATATGATCTAATCTAACTCAGGCGGTGAACACAATTTTAGAGAGCAAATTATAGTTAGTCCCGAACTACATGTACAATGCAAATATATTGTATTATTGCACATAACTTTCATACAATTGACTTCACAGGATTATCGTGTACAGTTTGAGTTTATATGTACATGTTTTTTTTTATTTTACACCTTTATTTAAAAAAACTACAAAATGCATAAAATGGGTTGTGAGACACTGCACGTGATGTCATAAGGAATAAATAATAAAGCTTCACGGAAATTGAGAAAATGATAATTTTAACCTCGCACACAGGAAACGTAATTTTTCCCAATATTATTTTATTGTCATATAGTTGATGAGGAAAGTATCTAGCCACCTAGCTGATGAGAAATCTAGAGTATTTTAAAGTTTCTAGGGAGGTTTTAAGTAAAACTATCTTTTAGGATTTTTTCGCGGATTTTGGTTTTTAGTTCCTGATATTTTGAAAGCTTAAGGGTCGGGAGTCTCCCTTGGCCACTACCGCGTTACGTCGAACTAAAGGCATCTTACGAGTTACGCTCATTCTTTGTATTATGATGGTATGGAATAATTCGAAAAACAGTTTCTTTGTTTCGAAAATCATCAAAACTCTTAGTAAGGGCACCTACACCATCTGCATGAACATGATGGCACAGTGAAGATGTCCTTTGACGTCGCTTATGCACACGACGTTAGCTTGCGTGGGTTATTAAGAATGTTTCCATGCATCATACAGATGTTTAATGTCCGTCATAGATAAAACACTTCAAATTGACTGTTAGCAAAGAAAATGGCTGTTCTTATGAGTTATGACACTATTGTTTACACTAATTACTAAGCTTTTATATTTGGGTTGATCATAACGTTATAAAATTATGTTTATTTTGTTTTAACTATGTTCGATTATAAGTGAAACCCCTTTTAGAAAAGGGCTGAATAAAATATATTATTTAGTTAAATACGCTCGCGTAATATTTGCAGTTTTTTTAGCTGTTACAATATTTATATAATACTGTTACCTCTGTGATATTTAGCTACGTTGCATTATCTTGGTGACAATAGTTTAATAAATATTATGTTTATATTTTATATTTATGATGTGATGATATATGTAAATTATAAGTGAATTATTTGGCTAGCATGGCTAGATAGCTTTCATTGTTGGAATTGTTTTGAAGCATTTACCAAGGCACCTAGGTCTATGTACGGTGTTCGGTCCGGTTTGTACTCAGTGTATGTATGATAATAAAGTATTTTTTATAAAAATGTCTTTCATTGCTATAATTTTACATATCCCAGCAACTTAGCGGCTTTGCTCACGTGTTTATTAGTATGTTACCATTATTTATTATGATCCTAGGAACCTATATAGTAAGAAGAGAGCTAGAAGTACACCGCCTACCATTTCATATAATTTTTCCTACGCCCTAAGGTTGCCTGGAGGAGATCGCTTATAGCGATAAGCATAAGGGCGTCTGCTGTGCATCATCTATTGTTTATATCTACTTTTTGTATATTTCTTTGTGGTGTACAATAAAGTATCTATCTATCTATCTATCTATCTATCTATCTATCTATCTATCTATCTATCTATCTATCTATCTATATACTCGCAGAAAGTAAGGCACTATCATATAATATAGAATATACTTACTTCTGTAATGATTTAGCTGTAATTTGGCACACACATTTTGTGAACATTTTAACCCGTTACCTCCTACAGTTTGAAAACGTGCAGCACTCTTTCAAAGGCATAATAGGTAAATAAACTAGCCAGTATAGACTTATTATTAAAAAAAATCAAATAAATGTCAATAGATGGCTTAATTTACTATTAGTGTTTGTGAGTTAAATAATAACATATTCCAATTACATATATTTTAGCATTAACTCATTTATACAGACTTCAGACTGGAGATAGAGAGAGATCTCCTATAGAGATAAGTCCACCTTAGTCCACATCACTTTCTATGTATTTTTTGTATGACTATTTTTGTGCAATCTATACACATAATAAAATTTTAACTGACTCGAATCTGTACATTAAATATTCATCGATACAGAGGCCGAATCTATTATTTTTAGAATTTTTATCTGTTTGTCTGGGAACGCATCATGAGAAAACAACTGGACAAGTTTGATGGGATTTGATATGATGATAGCTGGTTATCCGGGTCAAACTTAACTGCCTCGGTGGTGTTAAAAATTAATTAAAAAAAAGAACAATGTAATTCATCATATATTTTTTTACTTCTTGTGGTGCACATCCTTGTTAATAATAACCAGTAACAAAACATAAACAATCTTCAAGCATTTTTAAATTAGAGTTCCTAAACTGTACAACATTTGAATTTTAATTTTTTGAATAACTTGCATATTTTCTGTAAAAATCCCTATGAAACTTATCTTGCCGATCATTTTAAAAATGTCTACGTATCGTTAGCTATCCATCAGTACATAAAAGATACAGAAAGAATCATAAAGTCAAGAAAAAATGACACAACAAAGAGACCAGGTGGAAAATTCTAACAAATGCTATTGTTAAGGAATTAAATCAGCATCAAGGTAAAAACGACTTTAATGCAAAATATTTAAAGATTATTTTTCAATAGGATCAACAGGTAAAAAAGGAAGGAAGAAAAAAGAAGGAGAAACTAGAGCTGTTTGTACAATGTTGTATTAAAAATACATATACATATAAAAATATATATACATTTGAGAAAATTTATAAATCTTAAAATAGTAGGTAATTATGAAAGATACAATAATGAATAAGTTTCCTAAGTCACTTAATAAGGTAGGGAGATACTTTGGAAAACACACGAGTTAGCTAAAATGAAGAAAAAGCTTACAATTAAATTTTTCGATTATAACTCGTCCTCAAAATGTGATCCCCTACTTCGTATACAGACGTATTCTCTTTCTTAGCTTGCTTTTAACTACTATGCCACTGAAGTTATGTCGAATGGAATTTGCAGCATTTATTATTCTAGTTTAAATTCTTCAATCGATTTTACAAGTATTTTTATACGTATATATATATATTTAAAAATACTTGTAAAATCAATTATACATACATATAGACTATAGTCTATGTATTCCATACTAACCGTCATAAGGTATCCAGACCTAAAACCCTAGCGAAGCGAGGGTGAGTCGCTAGTTTTAAAATAAAACTACTTTTTCGGATTTTCTCGCGAATTTACTTTGATTTTTGGTTCCCGAATGCTTTATAGTGATCATGGTCACGGAAGAGACTAAGGTTTATAGCAACAATTAGACATTTAAACCTTAAGTCTCTCCCGTGACCATGATTGCTGTAAAGTGTAAAGCATTGGAAACGATAGTAACCAAAAATCCAAATAAATCCGCGAAAAAATCCGAAAAGATAGTTTTGTGTACAGAATATACCTAGACCTCAAAACAATAGCTATTAAAATGTTTGTATTATGTCTCTGTGCGTATCACGCAAAAATTGCTGAACAGATTTTAACAAAAAAAAATTATGATAACTTACTACTCGAGTCAACATTTAGGATATCTTTTACTACAGGAAAATATTTCACTCCCACGGGAAAGCAGTAACTGATTCGATCGAAAACGTACCTAGGGGACGTAACCGAGCGAGGGTAAGCCGCTGGTACTAAATAAAATGCGTCTTCAAATGAAACCTTAATTTTATACATTATTGAAAAATAAGCCATTAGATAATGAGATTATAGTGTAATGTAGATAAGTACGTAATAAATAAATAAAACACATAGTTTGCGGTACAAAATTTTTATTTAAACATTTTATATACAAAATAATTCGAGTGATACGATTTAATCGTGACTAGATACATACACATTAAGCTTTGCCAATATCAGTGAAACATTTTAGCGTTTGTGACAATAAAAAAATATAAAATAATTTTACATTATAATTTACAAAAATACTTGAATATAAACATAAAGATACGTTTTTTAATAAAAAAGCTTAAAGCGATTCGCATATGTTGTTGCAAGTTTAAAGCCGCACATAAAGATAATTCTCGTTGTAATAAATATTATGAATATGAAAATGGTAGTTTTAATGCGAAATGAATTTTTATATTATAATTTACACTTACAAGCTACATAATGAATAAACATACATGTAAAAAAATACCTAATGTACCTACTGATTGAGATTATGTCCAACCTAGTACGTGCACCAAGACTTTAAGGTTCAAAAGCCTTTACAAGTACTTACACTTTCAAAGTCCTCTTCGGGACAGCCATGTAATGAAAAATATGAAAATGAATTTGTAAGTATATGTCTGTCGAAGTTTTATTAGCTATATGAATTCCCATGGTTTGAGAATAGGGTGGAAATTAATATAACCAATTGAAGTTCAAATTATCATTTATAAAGACTTAGAAATAATGGAGGTGTAAGAGTTGATGCTGAGTGGCCATACGTAATATTTAAAGTATTATTTAGTAGGAAGATCTGCCCGATTGATATTCAAAGTGTTGTGTACCAGGAGGGACACGGTAGCTGGTGTAGCTGTGGTTGAGAGCGTGTTGCGAGAAGAACGAAGAGTAGTCCTTGCGTACCTGTAATCGAACATTTATATTCTTAAAAATAACAAAAATCAAATGCCAAGCCCCATTAGTAATATTACTTAAAAATCTAAATCTAGAGAAATTTTTTAGATTAACCATGGACTAATTCATAAGTAGTACGAGTAGGTAAAATATTCTAAATTAAGACTACAGCGCACATGCAGTTTTTTTTGAATTGTAAGTTTTCTACAATGCGAAACTTATAACAGAAAATAGAAAGATGAATACGATACGATATTGTGTAATCAGCCAATTACATGATTTTCAAGATACAAAATGCTTTAGTTGATCCAATTCTAAAGTTAGAATGTTACGAGTAACGAACAACTTCTTACAAGAGAAATTCTATGAGTTAAAAGAAGTGCTTTGACAAAACAGTCACACATGTCCGAAGCATCACTTACAAATGGTAGATATTATAGTCCGACATGTACCGACTAGCGTGTCGGACGGATAGACACGGACGCTTAGACCTCGTTCAGGGCAAGTAATTCGGCAAGCGAATATTGCCGTGGCTAGAACATACAATAAGCAAGGGTTGCGAATCAAGGAACTAAGGTATTTTGTTAGCAAGTCGGTTTGTGTTTCATTGTCCACAATGGAAACCTTTATTATAAACCTGTTAATACAAGTTATCTGGAAATGGAGCTAAAAGCTGATCACTCACGGGAATGCGCCTACATAGATGTTAGGGGAATATGCTTAAAAATTAAATTAATCATTAGCACACTTATCCTCATATAGGTATTAATTAGCTTATGGAGACTTAGTAAGGGAACCATATATGTATGTAAATATTTATACACTTACCAGGTTTTTTTAACTAATATTTGAGATAAATATCTATTATGTATATTTGAATTCGAAATTATTTCAGAGACGAACAAATAATATTATATTATTGATAGAGATACAAGCAATCTGCTTTTATATTCCAGAATATTAGCATAGCCAATATTTATATACTCACGTACGTCGTTCAAATTATCAAATGTTTTTAATCCTATCAACAATTTTAAAATAAATTATAAATGTTCATGCAAACATTTTATTGCAAACATTTTTCAAGAATGGCTACATTATCAATATACATGGTGTAGCTATTTGTAAAAATGAAATTGTTCCTATCACGTGCATTTAAGAATTTAATATCAGCCGTGTGCAAATTATTACTTATATATTTAGGTTTGAAGTGAACGGTTAAAATTTTAAATAAAAAAAATAATAACCTTGCGCGGTCTGCAAGCGGGTCCCTTAGCTAACTGCCTCCTGGCTTCGTTCTCTGCGGCTACGGCCTCCTTTACAGACTGTGGTGGCCATTTCTGATCCCCACGCATGTTTATGCCTCCTAGACAAAATAAAAATATCATATTAGCATATCGCTAATTTTATCATGAAACATAATATTAAGGTAGGATGAAGGATCTTATAAACGCTCATATTGTTCATCTATTTATAAGTAACTAAAATGTAGAGATCGGCTTTCATTCTTCTATAGCTATTACTAGAAAATTATATTTAAGCTCGATAACTCATATTAGATTCTTGAATAAATAATAATTGTTTCGTAACATAATTATGTGCCTACATTAATAAATATGGATAATGGTATTACTTACATACTAATACAGCTAATTTCAACTTAAAGATTCCAAAAGTAATGTAATAGGGATACTATAACTGTAATGTAAAATTAAGATATAATTATAAACTTTACAAAACAACAAAGAACAATCTATATTTGTAAAAATATTATGTCGACCGATTTATTCGTTTCTGATTGAGTATAAAAAACTAATTTGGAACTTGGAAGCTTTATTTGGCATAAACTATTCATGGAAACGATATTCTATTTTATCGCGTAAACTAGGAAAATTAGGCAGACAAAGAGACTGATGCGGATAATATAAACTTTATTATATTTTATTTAAGATTAAGGTACCTACGACCTACAGAACTTAGATTTTCTATAGTACCATAAAGTCTAGTTACGATATTTTCTGGTGTAATATGAAAGCTTTTACGTGTTACGAGTCACTTTTCTAAAGCGCCACGACGACATAAAAAGTACTTTTAAAAACAATATACCTGCATCGACGCGGTACAGCGCGAATTTATAGCAAAGGATTTTATAGGTAGGTACAAATATAAAGTTAAAACTTTGTTGTAACTTACAATTTTGGAAGGAAAAATCACTATAGTATAGGTTTGTTGTGTCTGACTGACTTAGCGCTACGCCGAATCTACATAGTACATATATGTATTATGTATATGTATGTATGATAGGAACACGAAGGAAAAATAACATTTAAATTATTATTCTTTATGGCCCAGGTGACTGATAAGATTTTAATATTTTTATATGATAGTGTAAAATAAGGTATGACGAATATTTAAAATGCTTATTATAAATCTATGCCTTTTTCAATAATTGGATCAGTACCTTGAACGTATCTACTGTAAGTTCGAGTGAGCGATATATATACATAAATATTTAATATCTATACATACAATAAAACAGTAGAGTTCGAATGTCTGCACATAGAAAAAAATGCTTAAAACCGAGTCAGGGGGATGTAAGAAGAGAAATAGAACAAATCCAGATATTTCATTTTTTTTCGTTTTTCTGTCTGTTTGTCTGTTTGAACGAGCTAATCTCCGAAACTTTTGGATCGATTAAAAAAAAATTTGGCATGGTACCTCAACATTTTAGATACTTTTCATCCCGGAAAATAAAGAGTTCCCGTGGTATAGTTAAAAAACTATAGTAACTTATACAGCTTAGTACACAACAACTACTGATTGGATTTTAATGAAACTTTACAATAATATAGTTCATACATCAGAATAACAAATAGGCTACTTTTTGTCCCGGCAAAATGTACGGTTCCCGTGGGATAGATTTGTTTTTTTTGTCTAGAAGCGAACCCGAAGAAGCGAAGGTGAGCCGGTAGTTATAACTAAATAAGGTTAGAAATTTTGCAATATCAAATTTTACCTTTGTATGACGCTGTGGCAGGCTGGCTAGCAAATACAGGTGACGGCTGTTGATGGATCGGCTGTTGAGGGCGCAGTGTTATAGTGGCCGGGGGTGGCTCGAAAACTCTCTGTGGGGGCTGGTATAGGGGCTCCGTATATTGCGGTTGTGGCGAGTACTGCCCTTGGCCCTGCGGCGAATACTGTGGTTGGGAGTACTGAGGTTTTTGAGATGAGGGCTGTAAGATTTTTTTTTATTTAGTTCATGAAAATATGCAAAGTTATGTTCATGTCGATACTTATTTCTTTAATAGAGTTACAAGAAAAAATTGACTAGAAGCCAATAAAATCAATTAATTTTAAAATAATGAAACTTTTAATTAATCTAATAGTAGCATTAGTAATTATTTTATAACACTGTTATTATATTAAGTAATCATTAAAGCATTCAATAGTTATATAAATATCTATATCAGACGAGTTGGGGCCTTAGACAATAAGAATTAATAATACGTATTTACGTGTTCCCCATCCAATTGATGATTAGATTAGAATTTATGCAACTAAGCATAATATCATTAAATATAATGTGCTACAAAAAATGAAATCTTGAAATCAGGCCACCACAGTAATTCAAAGAATAAATATTCCATGAACATTGTTTGCCAACTAAGGACTTGTTCAATAGACATTTTTACTAAAACATTCACGATGTAAATAGCATTTCTATTATGTTCAAGTATGGTTAGTAAAAATAGTAATTAAAATGATAGCAATCATTTTTCGTGCAGTTTGTGCGTGCATTTTCACTCGAATTCGACGTCCACTCTACCTGAGGGGAGGTGGGGGCCGGTACGGGTGCCCAGCGGCTTTGTTGCTGTCGATAGGGTTGCGCGCTAGGGGATAGCGGGCCTTGGCGATAAGACGGGGCAACTGGGGAAGCGCTAGCGCCGGGCCCCACAGGGATCAGCTTACTTAGCCCTGAGGCTTCCTGACGTCGTCCCTCACAGTAGGCGGATTGGGACTGGTCAGCAGAATAGGACTGAGGGTACTGCTCCTGAGGCTGGACTTGGGATGGGTATTGTTGTGGTTGCGGGGAAAATTGTTGTTGCGACTGTTGTTGTTGTTGGGAGTATTTTTGGTGGGACGGAGAATGCTGTGCGTTGTTGTAGAATGCAGGACTTTGCTGTAGGGCATAAATTGAACCAATATGGACGATGGCAAATCTTTTATTCTTTACGTTTGAAATCTCAAATTCTTTTAATTAAGTATGATATTGAACAGGCGTTATAATAATAATTTATTTATGTTTCAGTCTTGAGGAATTTTATTTTATTATTGCCATATGAAAACATCTACAATAAAATAATTTAAAGCTAACTATATTGCATATAATTTATAATATATGACACCTAATGGAAGACGAAGAAAAAATTACTATGGTACTGTAACCGCGAGAAGATGTTCAAGTATATTCCAGAAATCAACATTTGGTACATATTTATTAAACATGTACCTACATATATATTAACTCTATAATGAATGTATGTCTGTTTAAAATCGTTGTCATTTCTTGTTGTCATTTATATATACAGAATAATTTGCTGTTTGTCGATCCTTCATGCTATTATATGTGCTTTCGATGCTTAAGCATTGGCTATGTGCAGCTTTAATATTTATCTAATATCTATGTACAAGTAAATGAAAACGTAGATATATAATACCTGTTGCGACTGGTGATAACCGTTTGTTTCGGGGGCTGGAGGCCAGACCACTTTCTTTTGGCCTGCAACAAAGACTTTTTTTAATTTAAGCGCTTTCAAGCTACATAACGAAATAATTTTTCTTATCTAATACTCAGACACAACACTGACGAATGTACATATTTATAAATTACTTTTTAAAACATTCAGGAGATTTCTAGATCTAGTGATAAACAACATTATCTATCAGCTCATGATGTTTTCCCGGTTGCGGCTCTTGATCCTATCAGCTGGCGAACACACACTTCAATGGGTAGATGTAGATGTAGATTCTCACTTATTATGACACATTCCACTTTAAATTAGCTAGCCAACGGTGTTTTGGATTTGATCCAGAAAATCAAAGATAACAGATTTTTTGATAGCTTGCGATTATATATGCGTGCAAAACGAGTTTTATACAGGAAAAGATATACATACAACCTTTGAGCAAATTCATATTGCAGGAATTTTAGAATTTTCAATGTAAGAATTTGAGGTAATTATCACGTAACATTTTATTTTTATATAATCTAGGAATCCGTATCTATTTACTAATAGAATATTAATCTATACATATAATAAGATTCTAAGTGAGTCGTATCTGTACATTAAATATTTTTGAATATCTTATTCAAATAGTCATTATTATTGATACAGAGGCCGAATCTATAGTTTTTAGAATTTTCACCTGTCTGTCTGAGAATATCACGTGAAAACCACTGAACAGATCTTGATATAATTTGGTATGATGATAGTTGATTAGCCTTGTCAACATAAAGGATACTTTTTACTGCAAGAAAATATCTAAACTGAGATATCTATACTAATTGTCAAAAAGTCTCTAGGATGAACCCGAGCGAAACGAGGGTGAGTCGCTAGTAATAATATAATTTTCTTTGTCGATATCACTCAGACTGAGTGAGAGTAGAAGATGATGTGTCATTCTAGTTCCAAATTTTTTTCATTATGATGTAAAACAGTGCTGTACCATACTACCATGACACCTTAGCTTGTCAATTTATACCTATACAAAGGAAAATTTGTAGCTCTATCCAAATTAGGCAATGCTTTAAATAAGATTACAGTCAGCATAAGAATGCAAGATACAAGCATTGCTTGTAAAGACGGTTGTGAAATTTATGGCTTAAGCTTGAATGCAGACGGAAATAAAATTTAAATTTGTAAGTTTTTGATTAAGATGTGATTTTTTTTGGAAAAATATTATAATCATTGGGTTTCCTAAAACCCTGTATGAAAAAATAATGAAAGTATAAAAATCTTAATCTTAGCGTACTTTAGTAAGCCCATTTTGGGGCGACATTCTTGCCCCTCAAATCTTTTGCCTTGTTAGAAACAACGTATAAATAAATAGAATAGCTATTGATCATAAGGAAATTAATTTATCTCTAAGTAGATTGAGAAGTTTGAATAACTGACAATTTGCTCAAATTTAAATTTATATAAACCTAAATAAAATATGAAAAAAGGATTATCTAACATGATCACCAAATAAGTTATAATGATTAAAAATCTATCTAGAGAAGTGGTATTCAAAATATTTTTTATATTTTTTTTGTAAAGGTCATCCAAAAACAAAAATTTTGAAAAAAAAGTTTAACTTCGACCATTATTAAGAAAGTTATGAGCAAAAAACCAAAAAAGAGCAGTTTTGAAGCAGTGATCAAAAATATCTCGAAATCTATCAGGAAGCCTCTTTAGAGGGGTACTAAAAAATTACAAAAATATTAAGAAAAACAAAAATTAAAATTTTTGAAATCGTCCGATTTGGCGTGGAATTCCCCATATACGAGTACATAATGTATCAGTGATATCACATTAAAACACGAGAATTATGTAGTTAGCTATAAAAAGTATGCAATATGCCTTGTTTTAAGGTTTGTAAAGTTATAGTGTATATGTTAAAATTCGAATAGTAAAATCATAATTGGAAATGATCATATCTGAAATTTCTTCAAGAGTCAATTTTCATAAGGTAACTTACGCAAGCAAGATTCGCGTCAGGCGTGCCGCTTCAGTCAGGTCAGGACTACGTGTGACTGCTTGGCTCTCGCCAGGTGTGTGGGCGAGGAAGCAGATATATATTTTGAGATTACACCTCTAGGGTACGCACACCTTATGTCTTTCTTGCGATTATCCGGTTTTATTTAAAGCTTCGTACTTTATAGAAATTAATTTCTACGTAGTTTCTTTTTATTCGTGCAATTTCTCTATACCCATTCTAAAATCTATTCTAAAAATGTAGGTATAAGTATCTACAAAAGAAAGCTACTTTAAGTATGTTTAAGTATCCTTTTATATATGTAAATAAAAATAGTAATCAAGATTCAGAAATAAGTCTAAGATGTCATGTCATGTGTTGCTAAAGTATTCGTTATACTTTTTAATACACCAGCGACCCGAATTCGGAAAATCATAAAACTTGGTTAAAATCGATGGATTTATAGCGCGGCAATTCTGATGATATATGGTCGTAATTCTTAATTATCTGGCCCATTGAATTACGAAGTGTACATTAATTATTATCTCACTGCAAATGCTGTCGCCACTCATCAGTGACCAAAATTATTATTAAGGCAATTTTCTCTCCGTTATCTTCTCGTTTCTAAGACGTAAATAGTGGGTTTAAGGCAATATTGTGTCACTTGGGACTATTTTTATTGACTAAGTTGTTACTTCTTGACTCATTGGTATTGGCATTATAATTGGCAAAAAAACAAATGACATGCGAATCTGATTCATCAATTGGCTTAGACTGCGATAGTTGTTTAAGATCTTATTCATTGTTTACTTCGATCGAAACATATTTAAACACATTCCTTTTAATTTCTAACATTATATATACATGTATAAGTAAATAAAGTAGGCATTTAATTTTAAGTATATATATAATGTAACTAGTATTAAAAACTTGGTGTTGCGTGATCTATTGAATTTCATAGAGCCATAATCATAATAATCAAAGTATCGGTGCAACCGCAATTACAAGGTTAATTGGCAACCACATCCTGTCATGCAATATTTATAATGACATTAATTATGCTGACGAAATTAATCGAACTACGAAATATATTTTTAGCCTGTTTAAGGGCATGTTGAGAATGTATTTACATTAGTGGTTAAAGCAATATTAGCAATAAATTTTAAATTATTCATGTGTTTTAAAATTGTGTAAAAGTGTAAAGTTTATCAAAATAAATCTAAGAAGTACACACATTTTGTGCTTAAGTTAAGTGCATAAATGACTGTATTTGTTACCAACTGGTAGACGCGATTCCCGAAACATTTCTACTACTATCTCAATGTCAACAGACAGAGACGCAAACATTTTAACTAAAAAATAATTTAAATGATTTTTCAGTGTGAACGATCTCGCACTGAAAACGATACTCATTCGTTGTTGCATCTTTTCAGCGCGGTTTAATATTAGCCGTTGATTCATGAAACACGCACGAATGTAGAGTCATCAGAAATAGTTACAAATTACGTCAAACAAAAAACTCTTTAGTTAATATATAAAAAAAATCTATTCAAATATCGCTAGTACAATAAATGTCTTTATAAATTATATTTCATTACAGTGGTACATCGTGAATATTTTTGCACGTGGCATTAAGTATAATAATATTTTTAGCGGAGGAATTGAGAAACAACTGTACGAGAATGCACTTTATAATATGAAGTAATGATCGTTTTTACTATCAGTTTTAAAGATTCATTTACGTAAAATTAAATTAAATAAATATTAATCAATCCTTTTCTATCATAACTTTATAATTTGAGCTAAAGCACAAAATACAAAAATATAATATTTTCATTTAACTGTAGCGTACGTTTAAAATAACACTAATTAAACATAATTCATAAGCATTCCTAATAGTTAAAATATTAAGTAATTGTAAAGAAAATTAAATATGTACATTACCAACAACTACTACTTCAGGCATTTTCGTTAGTGATCGTTCGCACTCGAGGATATACTAACAATAACAAAGAAACTTCCAGGTAGGTAGCTCATGAAATAATTTTTAATACTTGCCAAAATTTATATGCCAATGACCAATTTTCACAACAAGTAGGTGTCACGCGATGACACGCTGTGACAGTAGAAGATTCTACGTATATATTGACTCAAAACAATAACTTTGAAATAAATGCTTTAAACAAAATATATTTAATTATTGCTTTGAAAATAGCCATGTGTTCATGAATTGTATTTGTTGTAGCAGTGAGTGTTCAAGGATTATCTGCTAGACGATGATGTTTATTTTGAATCTTATTGCATTTCGCAGGCAGCAATCGAGTGATTCAGAGATGTTAAATATGTGCAAGACTATATGGGTTCTATATATATAATAAAATTATATATATATTATATAGTTTGTTACATGTGCTACCGAGCGAGTGTATTAAAGTCGATGTTTCACCAGCAAATGTACCTTTAGTAGCTTTCATAAGCGTAGAATGTATATATGACGTGGAGTTGATTTGGCCATCCCAACTACGATCCACTTTCGTCTTTTTTGGAGGCCAGATCTGGTCAAATCTTCGCTCGGTGTGAACAAAATTCTCCAAAATCGCCTGGATTTGGGTAGGGTCTAATTCTGACAAAGCAGTGGATTAGGAGCGTTAGTTGAGTTTTTTTTATAAATGAAAATGTTCTTTTTCTTTTCTTTTGTATTATTTAATTTTTTGGATTTAATTACCAAATACGTACCTACATATGTTACGTGGTGTTCGTACTATACGTTTTACCGATACATATATAATTTCATATTAAACCCTTCACTTATCTCTTATTACTATTATAACAAGAAAAATTTAAATATAAACTCATAAGACTAATTGATTGTAGTCGTTATAAAGAATACTTACTCGGATATCCCTTACGATTACGTTCTTCTTCCTCGAGCATGCGCAGAACGGCTGAGTTAGCAAGATTCGCCGGCTTGTCGCTTACCGGGTTGTTGAAGTCAATACTGTTAAAGAAATCACATTTTAATTATACAGACATCTGTTACCATTCTATGAAAGCAATTAAAAATAAGAAGTAGTAGGTATTAAAATGTAAGAGAAATACATACTTTCCCTACATTTTTGGAGATAGATTTGTATATTACGAGTACAAACGTAGGTATCGAGTTATTTAAATTTATCCTTATTTCATCGAATTAGTTAATTAATAGCTTTTGATAACATAATAAAAGACAAGAAGAAAAAAACTATTCAAACTTTCTTATTTCTAATCAATTTCCAATGGTATGAAAGTAGCGTACAAAAAAGGTAACTTTGTAACACACAGGAAACCTGCCGTGGGAAATCGACACAAGAACTTGTGACAAAGCGCAAGAGAACTCTTGTTGATTGTATTTCGTAGTTTTCAATTCAATTTATCTGTGCCAACAATGCTTTACATAAACCAACGTCGAAGTGTTTAATTAGTTTTTTTGTATCATTGTGTCTCTATTTAGATATTTTAAACATAGAAATATGTTTTAAAAGATATTTTTAATTAAAAAATATAAATTTTATATTTTTTAATTAAAAAGATGACACATAAAATAGCTTTAGCTCTAATTACTTATTACTACTTTTTCTTGTAAAGTAAGAAAAATATGGGATATAAATAGGAATAAAGCAACTTGTTGTTAGTAAACCTACAATATACACAGTTATATGGATGTATAGTAAATTTTTAAAAGTATAATTTCACCTCACTACAATATTTGATTTATATAAAGATTATAGTGTCCACATGTATAAATAAATAAATAAATATTTTGGGACATTAATATACAGCACCATCTAGTTCCATGGATAACTACGAGGCTCGTGTTATGGATACTAGATAGTTGATACACTACACATATATAACTTTAAATACATACATATTATAAATATAAACACCCATGACTGGAGTACAAACATTCGTGCTTATCACACAAATGAATGTCCCCAGCGGGACTCGAACCCGCGACCGCTGGCACAGCAAGTAGGGTCACTACAAACTGAGCCAGACGTGTCGTCAAATATATGTATCATGTATATAACATTATATATGTTCATGTCTTTAGATATACGTCTTGATATGTTATAACGTGAATTTGTAGCGACCGGGTTAGTTAACTCTATTAACATTTTATAAGGCTTATTATAAATTGTTATTTTGTGCCATTAAAATTGGTATACTTTTACAAACCACGTGTACCTACTTACAGCGGACATATTCTCACATTATTTACAATTGAGGCCATATAAAGAATCGAGTTTACGTTCACCTCACAATTCCTTTATTGGTAAGGAGATCGCGTGTCAGTGTCATGCAAATTTTTATACGCGATGTCGTAACAAAAACAATATCTATCTTATTTAGACAAACTTTAATACTTATAGGTATTCTGCATTGTGAATCATTTGTTTTAGAAAAAATTGTTGCGCAAAAATACAAAAAAAATACATCTATACATATAATAAAAATTTAACTGAGTCTAATCTGTACATTAAATATTTTGTTGGAAAATCTTATTAAAATAGTAATTATTATCTGTACAGAGTTTATAGCCGACTCTATAGTTTTTAGTATTTTTGTCTGTCTGTCTGTCTGTCTGGGAACGCATCACGAGAAAACTATTAGACAGATTTTGATGAAATTTGGTGTGATGTTAGCTGGTTATCCGAGTCAACATATAGGATACTTTTTACTGCGGAAAAATATCTCATCACTTAGAAATCTATACTAAACGTTAAAACGAAAATAGGAACGAATCCGAGCAGATCGAGGTTTGCATATAGCAGGCATAGCTAGTTATCAAGTAAAAATAAATACTTGATTCTTATATTGCTGTAGAACTACAATAAATTAATAAAATTATAAGTTTACAATATTTGTTAATGTTTTATTCAAATATTTAGTGGTATCCACTGTTAAAAAATAAATAAATATTAAGGAAAAAAATTAAAATATGGAAAGTAAATCTTACCTGTTACATTCTATGACCAGAGCCATCTCGCAATAACAAATAATAATTATTATAGTTCCAAATAATTCACTTAATATATTGTTGCGAATTTGACACTAATTAGGTACCTATCAGTATAAATATGATTTTAAACAATACTTGAATATTTGCCAAATTATAATACGACGAAAGTTTTATTTCTATTCTACTTTATTTTATTATATATATATATATAGTTTAAGTAAAATTTAATTCAAAATGTGAATGTAATAAAAATTTATATATTCTTTGTATATTTCAATATTTATATTTATTAATTGATTGTTGATGTTTCTAATGACACTTTTTATTGATAACCAGTTTATAAATTATAATTTAAATCTTAAAACTCAACAATATCCGTGCACGCACAGTGCAATTCGTCGGCAAGCCGCGCCGTACTGCGCTTACGTCGTCCTTTGCGGTGTTTCGTGGTTACCAGATAACGACATGGCTCTTTTAAAGACTGCACGGTAAAAGCTAAGGTCAACGATTAAATATATTTGGTGAATATTCACTTACGCTAAGTAAGATCGTAATCAATGTTATTATGTACTATCATTTAACTCCTAACAAGAATATACTTATTAAATTTGATTCTTGATTTCATTGTATAGTGCTGATAATAATCTAATCTATACAAGTTTAAACGCTATGTCAAAAAGTGAAGTAGAGCACTAATAAAATGCGGCACTTACAATTAATTATTATAAATATATTGTTAATATATTTTAGAAAAATCCTTGCTGTGAGAGTATGTCAGCGGTAAAAAATAGAGTTCTGGGATTATACACTCGACCTGACCAGCACTATGATAATAGATAGACACTTATAGTTGCGATTCTTACTTGGTATAATGAAGGAGATATGTGAGTGTACTTACAGTACTCATAAATCGCAATACAAAATCTTGGTGCAGATCAAGTTGTTCGCATATACCTAACTCGTATTGCTGCAGTGCTATTTATATAAATTGAGATAATTTATTTCGGTACTACTTTATGCCTTACTGGAATGCGTGTAATGCAACGATGCTAAATTTTGTCTACTCAAATGTCAATGCCCTCAACAAACGCTTCATGTTTGAAGTAGGCACTTCCATGTAAAATTTTGCCTTGTATAAAATTAAGTTGTTTAATAAGTTATTAACTTATTAAAATTGTTTTGTCAGAACAAAAATTACATATTCTTATGTAAATGTCACAAGACATGCAAGAAGTTTACCTACATAATGTATGTATGTAATACATGTATGTATGTATGATGTATATATGCAAATACAAAAATAAATTAAATTATCATCATCACCTGTAAAGTTTTATGACTCATTGTTTATTTTTAATATGTAATGTGTCGTCCATCCCATTGAGATGAATCATTCTATTTTTATTCGATCGTATTGTTAATTTATTGCGCACAGAAGCTTTTGTATCTGTACCAACCAGATAAAGGCCAATATATCCATCAACACACACACATATAATTGATTGAACCTGCAACCCTTGGTGCAGTAGTTCATTGAGATTTTATAGGTCAATGTAAGCATTATAATAAAATAACAGAAATACATTATTGTTTATGGATCCTCCTTATATGACATTAATTTGCCTGCCGTTAGATCATTACTTTCCTACGAAGACTAGGTACTATTGCCAGACGTGTGTCCGTGAGTTCCGTCCGACCTACATTTAAAGACTAAACCTTGTGAGTTGTTATCAGTAACGTTTGAAATTTTCATAAAATGTATACCTTAAATAAAAGAAATGCCCATATTAAAAGAAAAGTGTTTGCACGAAATTTATTTCACCGTACGAAACGAATTGTATAGAAATCGGATATATTAATCACATACTCGTAGCTTCACAAGTCTATATTCCTTATAATATTATAATAGATTCTTTATAAAGTTTTAGTAAATGTTAGTTTTAGTAAATTTTATATTTATAAATAGTTAATTACTTACTTTTTCACCGGATAGATTAATTATTTCTATACTACCATTAATTAATTACAGTAATGACAGTTTTTAATATTGCACGCCTCGATACGTCTTCCGACATATACTAATCTTTCATTTACAATTTATCATAAAGGGAAATAGGATTAAACTTAATATTGTATATTAAGCCGAAAGGTTCAAACCATTTAAATTCATATGAAAAGGGTCGTGGGCCTCCTGTTTTGTTAGGTATTTGTAGGAATTATTCTGAACACGAATTTATAATTTGTCTAGTCGTAGTTAATTTATATATATTACATATATCGTATATTAGACAATATAAATAATGTACGTCTGTCTGTCTAAAGTTATCATTTTCGAACTCTACATATGTTGTATATAGTGTAATAAGCTTGCGCAAGTCTCTATTTGCTTTTAACACTTTGTATAACGCAGTAATGTGGATAAAATTTAAAGTTTTGCATTTGAGTATGCTTCAAAGGTTATTTGTTTAGGTTGGAATGGTAGAAGCCTATACCGCCAGTTTGAGGTGAGAACAATGTACTGTTTGTGTTACAAACCCGACGGTGCCATTGTCGAGATTCTGCAGATGCTTATTGAGTGTCTCTTGAATATTTTGCTGGGAGTAGAGACCGATGGGTGAATTGAATTGCTTGTGTACTATCTTCGGACCGGAGGCCATTTTGAAGTCGTTCGTTGCGCTGAAATTATAGTTAATCATTTAATGAAGAATGCGAAAGAATTATTACTATTAGAAATGATGAAAACACACGGAAGATATATAAATTATGTCGCATATATAGATATGTACATAACAATTAAAACGTAAACAATACTTTAAGCTGGTTCATTAGTTAATACTTATTTAAGAAAATACTTTTTATATTGAAAAATTATCTTTCATTCCCTTTGATAACAATGTGTTTAGGTGTTCTTTAGAAAAAAATAATTGCGTTGATGTCGACAGATTGCTTCGGTCGTGACAAAAATACATATGATATTCATACGTAACTTCAGAGAAACAGTTTTATGACAATATTATCCTTATTAATTTAAAAAAATGTATTTATATTTTTGACATGAGAAAAATTGGATTGTCAATTTTTATCCTTCTCATGAGGTAATTTTATTACACTCTCGTAAGATTCATGCCTCGGGTTAGAGACGAAGCTCGCCGTCTTATTACGATTTTATTAGCCCTGGCACCGACGACGACAGCTATAATATTTTTTCGAATAATGTGCAAGACAGGTAGCTTTGAACAAATAATATACAATACAAACAGTTTATATTAGAAATATACGAGTATACATATGTGTACCATAGGTATGTTACACGACGTAACAGACTCCACAATTGTAAACAAATTAAAAATAACTTGCATTTTTACTTCTATTACCGACTCTTTGAAACTAATTACATGACACTCGTATACTAACGTATATTTTTTTTGTAAAGGCACATTTTTTCTTTTACATATATCAATCATTAAAGGTGTAATCAATAAAATAGTTTTACTGTTAGCGACACCGAATTTAACACATTCATTAAATATCTTGTTTAAATTCACATTCATTAAATATCTTCTTTAAAATACAAATTTAGTCGTAAACATTTTTGTAGTTACATGGTTTTTGAGATAATAACTCGGCGAGTGTTTCGGAAAGTGCGTGGGTGCGACTAAAAAAGCTCGCATTGCTGGCAAAAAATGTTATTTAAAGAACACGCTGGAACTGATTTTTTAAACAATTGCTACATATAAAACGGGTTAAATAATATTTTAAAAGTTAATTTAATCATAAAAAACTTAATTTAAGATTAGAGCAAATTAAAAAAAATACCAATCTGTTCAGAATTTTATTGCAAAAAATGTCTATTGTTCTTATTACAATTTATACAGTTTTTTTTCTATAAGCTTTTTTTATTTCCGCCTATATCAAAGGATTGAGTAAACAAAACCAAAGATATATAACATTTGATCCACTGAGAATGAAAACAATGCGTCTGGAGCGGTTAATGCCAATACAGCTGCTGGTTAAAACAAGGTCAACGATACCGTCATCAAGGTTGGAAATATTTCGGTCGTATCATCCAGACTGTGAGATGTACGAGAATAGTTTTACCCTATTTTTAAAGCGCATCTTATTCTTTATGCATCCACTCTATGTCGCGAGTTTGCTGTAATTAACATGCCCGAGTCTACAGCTTGTGCCACGCGCTCTAAGGTAATGAGAGAGTCTTTTGAGAGTATTATAACATGCATACTAAAATTTCCTTCACACTGCCGAAGCGCATTATATATTACGTGAAAATGAGTCGTGCTATTTTCAGTATCGTGAAGTAATGGTGATTATTTTTGTAGCGGAATATTTTAATGTTGAGTTGAGTTAGTCATGAATGTAGGGGCCTCCAGGTGAAACACGAATGAAAAACACATACGTCTAAAGCTTTTATTAGTGCTAATGTTACATGAAGCGTGGAGCTTTAAGTGTCAATGATACCTTGTGCGGCGGAGAGGTTCGTGCGAGCGGCGACGATGCCGGACTCTAACTGATGGCGGGTAGGCGGGCAGGCGGCGCCGCGCGAGGGCGCGGGAGCTTACGGTATCACCTGTAATGTTCCATGACATTCATAATTATAATTAAATTCAAATATGAATAAACGAATTACAATTATTCTAATGTAAATCTTATATTTTTTTTTAAATACTGCAGTGTTAATTTAACATATTATCTTTTTTATTTAAATAAACTTTAATTGGAAGAATCTACATAATTATCATCATATTTATAATACACATTATTAATATTTAAAATATAAAGTTTGCCTTACCTGTAAAATAAAAGCGTCCGCTTAACAATGCAGTCCTTGAACTTAAACTGCCATGCACTAATGACTGTAATGAGCTGTGACAGTCAAACGTCTCTGCTACAGACGGCTACTCCTACGAATGAACTAGCACCTTCTATCACAAAATAACCGAGAATTTTATTCACAATCCAAAACTATTTTTAAACGCAAAGTATATGGAAGCGACATATGTACAATATATAAATTCTATCTATTCAAATTTTGTTCAAATAAACATCAAGGTTATTGATCTCTTCTATATGTTGAGTGTAAATAGGTATTTTACGCAAAACATTAGTATTAAAAAATCTAAGAAAACTTACTTTGTTTGCTTCACTGTTTTTAATATATATATTATTAAATAACACAGTTTTTTAATTTTCAGATTAGGTATTAGTTTTAAACTTTCTAGATGAAAAAATAAATATAACAGATACTTCGATCAAAGTACAGAAGTTACTAAATGTAATAAACGAGTATGTTTATCTTTTAAACTTTTATTATTATCTAAAACTAGCGGCTCACCCTCGCTTCGCTCGGGTTCGTCGCTAGGTACGTTTTAAATAGATATAAAAAGAAAAAATCTTTCTTTCTCACATTTTAATTATATGTTTTAATACTTACCTATTCCGGACTAAGAGAAATCCAAAAATTAAAATATCATAAAAATTGGAACGCGGTCGAACGGGATAAAAAGTATCCTATGTCCTTCTCCTGGCTCTAAACTACCTCCCTGCCAATTTTCAGCTAAATCGGTTCAGCCGTTCTTGAGTTATAAGCGAAGTAACTAACACGACTTTCTTTTATATATATAGATTGACTTGGCAGCGGCTAGACTTTTCCACGAATTAACCACGTCTACTGGAAAATATAATTTTTATCAAGCTTTTTATACCCAAGTGCTCAATATTTGCAATATGAATATGCGCTTGGAATGGGATTGTTCTTTGTTGTTATGTTATTGTATTATTTTTAACAAAAGTTATTTAGAGGTTTTTTCAGAATATCACATATTTTAAATGTTGATAAAAATTGAATTAATAATTATAATTTTCATGTTCGACTTTGTAAAACTTTTACATAAAATGCTCGAGATGTATAATTATCTCTAAGCGTAAAGAAAACTTAATTAATATTAAAAGTAATAAACAGACGGACTACTTTCCAGCAAAAATATTTTGCGAAACCCTTTTTACTGAGTTATTGTAGGTAGGTACTAAAATTTTGCACTTAGGCATTAGTTTCAATTTTTGACTAAAATATTATACTAGAAATAGTCATCATTTAGAATTGTTTTGAGTAATTTGTCACAAAAAGACTTTCAGTAATAAAAATGAGACATTGAGTTATTTATAGTTTATTAAAAATAGATAAACAGGTGTGGCGTGTAGGTAACAAACACGTAGCAAAGAGAAACGAGGATTTAAATATCTGGCAAAGCGGCGTGCATATAATAACCGTGACTCGCATCTATTATGATACCGATGGAAACATGGTCAAGGATGGGGGAGTAATTTACTTGGTTAAAGTATATAATAACTTGTTATAAAAGTAAAAATCCTATCGTATAATTTTAAAATTCAAATATCGATAACCGCATTTAACAAAATTGATTTTTTGGTAGTTGATACATTTTATGGTGTAAACATCCAGTAAGGAAAGATTTTTAGAAATTTCACCCCTAATATATGGAAATCCGTCCTTTTCAAAATTAGAAGCATGTCATATACCTACCAGCTTCTGGTTAGAAATAAATAAATATGTATTTCAGAGTTTTTGAAAAGCTGACCCCTAAAAGAGTGAAATAATGGACATATTCGCTAAAAAAACTTCTACATACTTCTAGTTTTTGTTTTATTTAACAACTAGCAGAACCCGCGGCTTCGCTCACACTAAAACTACAAAAAAAACTCTAAAAAGGTAAGTTTCATTCAAACGTTTATTTATCCCTTTGAAATTAAAAAATGCTATGAATTGAAAAATCCTATGAATTTTGAAAAATGCTAAAACACCTATTTATTTAATTTTTCTGAAGAGCATTAATACTAAGTTTCAAGTAATTTTATCATAAATATTTTTTTGGATTGTATTATAACGTGTTTTCCCGTGGGAATTAAATAATCTCCCGCGGTAAAAAACTGAGCTACTTTAAGATCTGAATATCTAATAGATAAATATGAACTTTAATTACATATAGTTATTAAATTATAATTATACAACAATTTGTTATGTAAGCTAAGTTATGTAATGCTTTGATTTGTTACGGCTGGCACCGACTTCGAAAATATTTGATTAGGTGTTTATAGTAAATAAAAACTCCCAAGTTCATCCTTTCAGTTATTTTTTACTTTTTACTGTTGTGATAATATATATGTACACATAATTTTACAAATTCGATACATATGACAACATACAAATTCAATGGACATTACAACTGAACAAATCCTTTAATCCACGCGAGCGTAGCCGCGGGCGGAAAGCTTAACAAAATAAGAATGGCACTTTTAAGTAACTTAAAAAAGGAGAGGAAAAAAGGAGACTATAAGTTTCAGGTGTACTTAGCCTGTTTATACCTATGTTAGTTTAAAGCCCATATTGGCCGAGTTACATGATTCTAAAGTCGTAAGTCGAATAAAAATAGAAGTAAGTCGATACTTTTTACTGCGGGAAAAAATTTCATCTCTGAGAAATCTGTACTAAACGTTAAAACGTAACTAGGGACGAACCCGAGTGAAGTGAGGGTGAGTCCCTAGTAAGTGATAATATTACACGTTACGTAACTATCAGAAATAAAATTGACTTATATAAGTAATTCATGCAAAGGTCATGTCTACCAAAAAGTGTCTTTGACATTCTCTTGTTATATAAAACACAGTGTCAATGCTGTCATTTATACTTACCTAATTTAGACCTTTTATTTTCTACTTGTATCAAAAAAGATTTCCTTTTATTAAATTACCCTTGACACTTGAATTGATTAAATTTAATTTTGTTATTAAATCTGTGTTAACCTTTTCCTCCTGAAAATATAATACTCGTATTTAATATTCATTCTATGACAAAAAATAATATCTTATTACGTCTATTGTCCGTGTTAATATATGTATAATATTACTCTTGTATAGAAGTAGAAAAACGATATTACTACTATTCATTACAAGTATTATACAAAGTTTTTAGCTTTTATTTTTTATTCCATTTGGTTCATAATGTTATATTAAATCTTTTTACCGGCAAAACCGCCTTGAAGTGGTAGTATTTTAAATGGATTAGATATAAGAAGGTTTGCTTGTGACAGATTGACATCTACAATTTCTTCCAGCGGAGCTACAACCTGCAGACGATGCATGCCTCGTAACGTTGTATACAAATATTAACTTTTCCGATATTATTTGTTTTCAATAAAATTACAATTGCTACAAGTAATAATGTAATATAATATTTTAATACAGATACTTTGTATGATAGTTTCAAAAAATACAACAGAATCTTATCTTATAAAGCAAAGGTAGCAAAACTCTGCCGAGTCCTTTTATTTTTATCTTTATATATTTTCGTAAAGGTTTTCTTTAACAGTAAAATAAGCAATCTTTCTTAGATAAATATTACCATACCTTTGTAGTTCATCCATACGTCCACAATGAATTCAGTTTTATTCATATCAACCAAGGTATCCAAAATGAGGGATACAGAAATCGTAATTAAAATGTGAAAGAATATATAATATATCGTAATAACTAAATAATAATTCAGACGATAAAATTTATTACTATATAATTTTTATACTATTGTACTGCGAACATCAAACAACATATATTTTCACAATGAAAATATTGTAACATACACAATTGTAGGTACTCAGAGCTTGACACTCTTCATCTTACGTATTAGTCTTTAAGAGAACATAATAAGACCTTTCTAACTTTCTGTCTTTACATCTTGCCTCAATCTAGAGTACTGTTTGAGTATTATGGGGCCACCATTATTATTACAAACTAACATCATTAACCATGGAAACTTTGTGCCATGCCTTGATGAATTGACGTAATAAATGTAGAAAAGACATAATAAGTACGAAAAATTACATAAAAAACATAAAAAAGAACGGCACCCATTTAAACCATTGTACTTATTCAAAATACTTATCTCAACGGTGCAGTCAGCTCATATAATCTTAAAATGTTTTTGCTCTGATAAAGTCGGTCTAGCAGAATTTTAAGCTAATTATAGTAAGTATGGGCTTAGGAAATGGAGCCTAATTAAAATATGTCACATTGGCTACTTTTTATCCCGGAAAAATGTACGGTTCCCGTGGGATAGGTTTGTTTTTGTTTAAAATATAAACTACGTAAAAAGTACGTACGAGTACATATGTTGTTAGAAGAAATAGTTTAAAGGGAAACAGATTAAAACTTCATGGGTATTGTTAGCTTTTTATATTTCAATTATTATTTATTACACTATGTTACTATTTAAATATAAATAAACATTTAATATATCTTAAGAGTGTCATGAAAATTTAAAATAATTACATCAATTTCGAAGTAAACTAGAACAATAGTTGTCTCTAGCAAAGCGAAGTAATTTTACATTTACCCAGCTCTTAAAATGTAGAATTCTTCGCCAGAGCAAAAGGTACTGAATATAAAAAAAGTGATAAAATGTTTAAAAATTATATTCCACTTTTATTTAAAAATAAATTTTAATTTAACTTTAGAATAACATTTAACAACATACAATATACTATCTGATTATGTACACATAGTTTATAATGATTTAATTGAAAACCATCTAAAGTTGATATTAAAATTTGACACTTAACGGTATATAATATATTACCTTAAAGTTATTTGCTGAATATAACTGTATGGAGCGGAGATTATGAATTTACCTATAACGTGCGGAATTTGTAGTTTACTTTTGCTGTCTGTCGTCTTCAGAGCTCGCCTTCACTTCCTTTGGTAATGCCGACTGTAAATATTTTATACATTAGTATTTGAACTAGGCAATTGTTGAAATAGAACCTTTTCAAATTTTTCTCCTATAAAAATAATTCCACTAAGACTTTTTGCAATTTTAACATTAGCATGTTCCTAAATCCAAACTCATTTCTACTTTATGTAAACATGCTTTAACCAAAAGTTGGCTTCCATCATTATTTTGATTTAGCCCTTTAAAATAATATTTTCATAATATTACCATAACGTAAAAGATCAAAAATTCTAAGGCCTTATTTCAACAATTATTATCATATTATAATCCTTACCTCGTAAGGCAGTAAAAACATATTGTTGTCTGAACGGCGACCGAACCGAAGGCGCATAGAAGGAGCTCGAGCAGATCGGTCTTGCTCCTGAACAAAAAAAAGATAGTTAAGAAAACAACAATAAAAATAACCAATACATTTAAGAACTCTTATAACAAAATTGGACTCCGCTCCACGTATCTGCAATAAGGAAAATAGTTTACCGATATACCTAATATCGAACTTTGTATACTTTCAAACGCGTTTGCTAAAATGTCAATTTAAAATGGGCTTTTACTTAATTCTATCTAAAGATATCTCACACAATCTGCTCTGGGATGTGTAAAATTGAGGCTATTCGCCATGATATAGCTCAATTGTCGTAGCAGCGCATAGTGGCTTGTTAGGGTGAATGAGTTCGTTTCACGCTTTTACAACGTGTTCGCAATTTTACGGTCTCCGATCAATACAATATATAAATAGAAGTTTGCAGAAATCCTATGAAATATTTTTTTATATTCATCATCTAGTATACTTTGTATCAAGTAAGTACGCACATATAATCATATTTATTAAATTATATGTTTTATGTGGTACCTATTATGTGTCCTAAAAAATAATCCAAAAAATAAGTTTCTTTATAGCATATTAAACATTCTGTAATATGGGTCTCGGGTAAATCAGATTAATTAAATGTGTGTATAATGTATATGTTTTATCCGTTCTGATCTTCACGCACTCAGTAATTGTTCATTCCGTTGTCTGATTTTGGTCGATATAGGGATAATGTGTTATAGCTAGATAGATAGTTAGTTAGCAATAGCACTTTTATCCGACCGGGTAAAACGAATGTATAATGAATACAATATTTGTTTTTGAAATATTTCCTATTGAACCAAACCTCTTGGGGAAAGATGTGAGGCACGGCGCGCTCGTCGGAACGGCGCCCGAAACGTAGGCGTACGGGGGATCGCACCTCGCGCAGGGCAAGCAGCTCATCCATGTCATCGAGCTGAAAATGTTATTTATCTTAGTTTCTAATGAAAATGAAAAATTAAGGAAAAATAAATGAATAGTAATGAATATTAAGCAAAAAAGATTTTAAGGTTCAAATTTGTTTTGTTCGTATCACCATTATTGGACTTTTCATTTATTTTAGATGTTTTAAGCAGTGTATGTGATGTTTTAAGATTGCTCTTTACACTTCCGTTCGTGACTGTGCAATCCAATTCTGGAGCGGCAAGACCGACCTCAATCAGAGCAACTGTACACCGTGACACATGGGCTAAATGGATGATTGTCGCTTTCGTGCTATTTGGCGATATGACGGACTTGTCACAGTTTTTGATTTTACAAATTGAGCCCCAGGTGAAGTAGTTAACATCTGTGGAGAGGAAATTCTGCCATCGCAATACTAGAGCGGTAAATGCAACACGGAGAAAGGCCAGTTATAAGTCTACCCAAATAGGCGTAAGCGCGGGCGCTAGGGGTCTTTCTTGATAGTGGGAAGGCCCACTGAAGTCCTTTGACTAGTTACCGCACGCTTTAGCTGGGCAGCCCCCGGCCAATAAGGTACTGATCTGTCTAAGAGTCAACTTGTTCTGTTGGGTAGAGAAAACACTAGTCAAAAACTATAATATAGTCAGTACTGTAAATTTTGTCGCCTACGCAAAAACAGAAAGAAAAGAAATCAAAACAAGCAACTACACTTATCCATGCGCCTAGCGACATGGAATGTCCGTAAAATGACGACAGGCCTCCCGGAGACCTGCGGGGATTTACGTTGCGCACAAGACCTGCTAAAAACTCCTGTGATTAACACTGAGTGGACGAGACTTAACATTGTCATTTTAGTTCTTCAGGAGATTGGCTTCCTGACACTGGATACATCAAAGAAGCCCCTTACCCTTTTGTCTAGGCGTACCTAGCCGACAATATTTTAAAATATGAATATCTGATCGGTAAATATATAATTTACGTATAAATATATTACATTTGCTTTGCATCGGCTGGCACCGTCTTCTAAAATATCTGATTATGTATCTATTCTAAATGGAAACCCCCGTTTAGTTATTTTTTACATTTTAGTGCCTGGAAGTCGGTTTTTTTAAGTTTTTATATTGTAAATATTAAGCGTATGGCCATAGTAATTGACTTTATCACCTCCAGGTAAATTTCTAAGAAATTAATTAAATTTCTAAGAAATCTATTGTTAACTGTAACGCCGGCGTTTCCGCGGTCGATGAGGGATTATTCATACAACTTAATGTATATTTTTAATATTATAGGAATTTAGTAATTCATTTTATATAGCAGTAGGTAGTAAACGTTAAGAATAATATCACACACATCTGTATTAATTGATGTTATTCTAATTAGTAGGATATAAATTTGATAAGGCCGTTGTATGAAGTCAGTGAGATGTCGGTAATTTCAAATAAACATTGAATTATCAAGTTCAGTGACTCACGAATATCGCAAAATTGTAAAGATTCGCTATATCATCTCATAATTAAGATATATTTCGCTAAAATAATTAGAAAAGTTGAATACAAAATTGAAAATAATAATACCTATGTAAATGTTCTACCTACATATGTACACATGTCTATGATAATTCTTAAAAATATCTTAATCTTATATTCAGAGCAATGAAATTTATTCACGTTACAGTAAATAAATGCTTTTAGATCTGCGAGCCTGATCCTGTTTGTATCGTTCTTTTGGCAAATGTGGTAGAAGGGATCGTTTTAAGATGACTGTAAGTAATACTGTGGGAAACATTATCCACTTTGCTCGGGCCTTATCATGCATTATCCACTCAAGAATACAGTCAGATAGCATTTTGGTGGCTCCATAACGGTGCCTCTAACAATATAATTTGATAATAGTACTTATGCATACTTATTTTTATTATGTGTTATCGTTAAGCTCCATATTTTTTGTATCTAAAGATAACACATTAATGTAGTGTATTAAATTATGTTTAAATCATTTTTTTGTGATAAGTACTCAAAATTAACACTGCAATGTGGCTTTTATAGATTCACCAACAGATTTTTTCTTATGTCAATGTATCTAATGACTAAATACAAAATCGAACTAATATTATATATGTAAAAGATTGTATATGTGTGTTGTCATTCACGCTTAAACAGTTTTACGGATTTGGATGTTTAATACATAGATAGCCTTTGTCCTGGACTACATATGCTACTATTAGGTTAGCAGTTAAATATAAATCATAATTAAATATTCTTACGGGTGCTTGAGGTGGCATGTCGGGGTCTGAGCGGCGACCGAAGCGCAGGCGGCGGGAGGGCGAGCGTACTGACTTGCGGGCGAGTGCGTGGCCGCCCAACGCATCGTGCTGCGCTAGTAGCGCGTACAGCCCGCCTAAAGCGTCCCACCCGCTTCCATTGTCCGATACCGCTGATGATGCTAAGATTGAAAAAATATATATAAGTGATTCTTTATCTATGCTAATATTTTAGTTCTACAATAAAATCTGCAATACCATAATTATATCGAATGTTTATATTTTATCATATATAATTTTTATGTATAAAAGGTATATTAATTAATTATAAGTAATGTTTAGATGGTTATTCGTATAATATAATATTAAACCTCATAAAAATAAATTATTTCATCATTCAAATACTTAACAGAGGTAAAATTTGCGTTTTACAGTATGTAATTTGGTAATATAGTTTACGAAATAATGGAAATGAAAATAAATCACGTCTCGCGCACAAAGATATCTAAGGACGAAGTCGCTAGTTACTAAGAATCCTATTACATATTTATAGTTTATTTAAGCAATTTGTAAACATAACATATTTTTAAAGATAAAGGTAACTTTCTTCTGTGCGAGGGAAAGTAAACATTGTAAGTTGAAATTGAGTTGCTTGTATATTTATTAATACAAGATATTGGATCTTCATTTTTCTTACCAAATCTGTTTTTTCATAATAAATATTACGTAAAACGATTACGATTAAGAATAAATCTATTAAGTACTAACAAGTAAAAAAACCTAAAATATTTATAATGGACATTTTTGTTAATACAGCCAATTGTTTGCAAGGTTTGTGGGGACGGGGAACATAGATCCAACATTTATTATATATGTACATAACCATGTTAAGATTTTTTACCTTTTATAAAACCCAACTGAAATCAATTTGAGAAGAATCATAGAAAAAACTTTCAAGTTATAGAAATAGAGTAAATACTCTATCTCTGTTAGAGAGAGAGTGTTAAAGAGCAGGCTAAAGTGCAGACTGTTACTCAAATTTAAATACTTAAATATATTATATATACATCTTATTTTATCTTAATATATATAATTATTCTGTACGTGTGTTTGTTAACATACTCCTCCTAAAGAACTGGACCGATTTGAATTAAATTTTGTGTGCATATTTCAATGGGCTCCTGGATGGTTTGAAAACACAAATGAACCCAGTAGGTGGCGCTGCAGTCGGTGTGTCACTAAATTTTCATAAAAGACTCCATTTTCCGAGCAATAAATAAATTCAAATTGTTGATTAAATAAAATAAAAATCGATGTGTGTATGTACGTTTCCTATGGACTCCAAAACAGCTGCAGGGCTGTTGTAGTGTGTGCGCAAGCGACGCCCCATTACACTGCGGCGATGGGTTCCGCTGTGGGTTTTAGTGAGTAGGAGTCTCACAGTACCCTGCGCGTTATGACGGCCGGCAGGGTCCCCATGATGGGTTTCCCCAGCGAAAACAAAAAAAAATGGACTCCAAAGCAGCTGGTGCGATTTTGATGAAATTTTCAAGTAATCTTCAAATTAGCCTAGCGCAGCGGGTGATCCTGTGAATTTTGGTAGCGATCGAAAGTTTGGACGCGGGAAAAGACGCGGGTACTGTAGACTAGTATACCTATGTAAAACAAAGTCGGATTTGTTACAACACTTATTAACTCGAGAACTGCTGGACCGATTTTTTATGATCTTTGTTTTGTTGGATTTGTCTTCACCCCAAATAACAGAATAACTATTAAAACATCGGAAAATTCATGAAAAAAAATGAAAAAAAACGAACCTGAGCGAAGCGAGGGGTAGTCGCTAGTAAATCTATACAGATAAATAAAATTGAAGTGTCTGTTTGTAATGTCAAAATAACAGCGTTTTACTAAATGCATATGAAATTATATACGGTACTTAAAAGAAAAACACAATTTTTAAACTTTTTGTCTGTCTGTCTGTTTGTTCCGGATAATCTCTGAAACGGCTGGACTGATTTTGACAGGACTTTCACTGGAAGATAGCTGATGTTATAGGGAGTAACATAGGCTACTTTTATTTTAAAAAAAGATTTAGGGTTCCGCTCAAAAAATTAAAATGTACCTACCTGTAAATAAAATATTATACATACTATATACCTTAACGTATGTACATTGTACATACTACTACATATATAAATACATATCTATATAATACAATACATAATAATGGTAGTTAATATAATTGTGAATTAACTTGGGTGAGAAGGTGCTGTAATTGGATGTCTTTCAGGAGTTTGTTCCAGAGCATTGCGCAATACACCGAAAAAGTTTTTAAAAGTACTTTGAGTTGCTCTTGGGTATGTCAAGCATCGCAGTGATGCAAGCCGCTTAGAACTCGAGGGAGTATGAAGAATTTGAAAGCGAGAACAAAGGTATGAAGGAGAATTGGGGTAATTAATATGTATTATTCAAAAGGCAGGAAGATATATGATTGCAGTGTTTAGTTCGTCAAGAAACTGCACGTGTAAAAGAATTGTCAATTGGCTAACCTCTAAATAGTGCTAAATTCACTGGTTTACAAACACTGTGTAAATTCAACATTTTGCCCCGGCTCCCATTTAATGTCGCTATCGTCATCAAAGCTTAATCTTAATTCAAGGTTAAGCCTTAAGGAAAGCCGCGCGACTGTAATTTTGGTTTGAACGAGATGCTTTGGTTTTCACTAAAGACAAGTAGCTTCCTTTTTTAGACATAACTAAGCACTCTTCTTCGCACACTTGTGGTAGGTTATTATTGAAAGCAACTAAATCTTATCGAGTGTAACTTCAGCGTTTCTTGCTCTTCATCGCTATTTCATCTTTATGAAGTTGTATGTAATATGTATTTATATAACGTATTGCATGTATTCCACCCTTCTTAACGTCCCACTGTTGGGCACGGGCCTCTCATCAATACGAGGGCAGGTCATAGTTGCCTAAACGCTGGCCAAGTGCGGGATAGCGAACTTTGTATGTCTTTTGAAAAACTTGCTAGGTTCTCTCATACACGCAGTTGTTTTTATTCACCGTAAGACAAGTAGTAAACATATTGAAAATGATTCGCTTATATAATATCGGAAGTACGAGATCCGGGATTTAAGCCCGATAAATAAGCGAGATAAATTGGATTAATGTGCAGGTAAAATTAGATTTACATAGTTATTTATATAGATTAATATAGTATTACCACAGAAATCTTAATAATAAGGTAATATTATTAAGATTTCTGTGAGTTTTACAAACTTAAAAAACACGCTTTTGACCGACTGTAATTAGTGGTACTCATCAAAATAAATCTATCTATATATCGATAGTATCAAATTATTTTACGTAAAAAAATCTTCCAAATTTGATTACGCAGTTGAAAGTGAAGATTATAAAAGTTTCTTTATCTATACTTATATTATAAAGATGTAAAGTTTGTGAGTTTGTGAGATTGTGAGTTTGTAACGTTGTAGGGGGTAATCTCTGGATCTACTGAACCGATTTAGATGAAATTTGATAAGAAGATAGGTTGAAACCCTGGGAAGGACATAGGATAATTTTTATCTCGGAAATCATCCCTTCGGGGGTGAAAAGGGGGATGAAAGTTTGTATTGGGAAGCAAGCTAGGGACGAACCCAAGCGAAGCGAGGGTAAGTTGCTAGTATATCATAAACATGAAGTTAAATACAAAAAGTAGAAAGTAATTCACAACAAATATGATTCAGTATGGACTAATAAAATATTATATACAATTTGACGTTCTTCCGTTAATTAATACGTGTAACAAAATTAGGCAGTTCTTTCATAGAAATTATCTATTTTATCATTTACCATTAAGATAGAATTACCGATATGCTCACTATGTCTACATTCATTTAACTAATTACTACTGATGATATTATTTTCATCAATACGAGTAATTTATTCTTGCTCTATAAGACATTTCTAGAAAGATCCTTAATTTTTTAAATTCATTTATTGAATAAATCGATAACTATGTAAGAAAGTTTTGCGAGTCTAATTGGCTAAGTTCGATTTGCATCTCAAGCTCAATTCTGACCGTCACCTCGTCGTCTTGATTCCTTTGGGAACGGTACTTAAATGAGAAGGTGATAATTCAACGCCAAGCTTGTGAATAGCTTGATTATCCAATGTAAGCACATTACGTTTTACGATGTCCAATTTGTATAGGTATATCCGTTCCTCTCCTGAATCTTCATAATATTGATACGATGAAATCTATTGTGAAATGAAATGTATTTCGAATACACGTACATATGTATTTATAACGATACATTTCGCTTTATATGAAAAATCTGAAATTCTAACTGAGACTTAAACTAAGTATGACTTGTATTCAATGTATCATAAAAAAACCTGACATAATTAAAAATAAATGTACTAGATTCACTCCCAATTATGTTTCAGTAAATAATTTAAAATTATTATAAAAAGATGGAGCGTATATTTGGATTCTGAAAGGCAAATTGTAACTGTGTTCTTCGTTAACATTGTATTATCACAATAAAATATGCAAATACTTCGTTAAACCACCTGATTCAATTAGTCTATTAATGCGGGACTCTGTCCTCATATGTAGGTGTGTTATATCTCGCTACTTACCTAATAGATACGAGTATAATACGTTACGTACATACATATTATGTGAATGAGAAATAGTGCTTTATGATTTGTCTTTATTTCACGCAGTAACTGAGCAACGAATTATCGTGATTTTTTGCATAAACAATGTATATGGACGTGGTTAGTGACACATAGTGATATTCTATTATGGTAGTAGTTTTTGACATTTACGTTGCAAAAAGTCAATAGCCAATAATCGTCTGAGTGATGAGAAAGTGTATCACTCGTTCCCAATGTGCAATAAATAACTACTTGCTGGTTAGGCTTATATTCAAAATTAAACCTGCAATAGGTAATATGTAAAGTTAAACTCACATACTACTATTACAGTTAAATAACTACATATAAGATACGGCGACGATGTTCTTGTTTTGGGAAGCTAGATAAATGCTCTCAAATTTGACATGGATAATTGAACTGTTTGTGGAGCGTTTGTAGAGTAATAGCTGTGTCAATTTAGGGTGGGTCTGTGCTGTTTTCGGACTCGTTGTCACATTTATTACTACGGTCAACGTCACGCGACCGTGTGAATGAAGTACGTGTTTCGGAGGCTCTCCACACTCTAGCAAATTAACCTATAGTTTGCTTTATTTTCAATGAAATGTTTATTTGTACAATGAAATTGCAATTCTACATTACTTTTTCGACTTGCACAAGCATGGGTCAATATTATTACGACTCGACGTTTCGCTGAATATCATTGTTTTTGCATCAAAGCTTATAAAATTCGACATAATTTAAAGTGTTATGGTGTTTGTATGGACTAAATAAAATTCATAAAAATAATAAATGAAATAGTTTCATTAAAAGGAAATAATATGATATATAAAAGTGTCTGTTTATTTTATTTATTGTTAAATTTGTGCACTTAAAATACTAATGAATACGCAACGACATAATCCACTCACCATCATACTGCGATAGAGCCTGCGCGGATGATGCAGGCAAAATACAAATCGCCGAGAGGCCGAACATTGCCAAGACCATAATTGTGCTTCGGGACATATCTGTAACAAGTAATATAAACTATTTATTATATAATAACAGTAATATTATACATTAAAATAAAAAAAACTTATTCAGATTTCATTCAGGTGGACAAAGACGAAACTGCGTTATATCTATGATTGTAAAATTAATAAGTTTCAAATTAAAAAATATTAAAATTTCAAAATGAGCCATGGATTAAACTAAAATATGTTAGTTTCCATTAATATTTAAATAAATTTGTATATACAGAATTCATCACTTCTCGCTTCTTAACAGTACTCGTTCTCCTTAAGGGGTACCATAAAAGAACATAAAATCAAAATATGCCCAAATAGTAAATAATTATATGCACTAAAGATAGCAAACGCCATTTCCTTTATTCAGCTATTCAGGGAGAGTGGGAATACAAATCGGCCGCGTGTTGAGTGAAAGTAACATATCTATTACATTCAACAAGTAGGGCATGGTGTCACCCTTCCTGCAGACTTGGCACTCGTGACGTCATCAATCACGCTTATCACGCTCGTGTCGAGCTGGTATTACACATACAGCATTTCTGCTTCTTTTTTACACGCTCGTGTCTCCCACACGCATCGTTGCGTATGTATTGGATTATATAAAATATTATTGACGTAAATGTAATATACAGTGTCGATGTAAGCAGGCTATGTTTTTCGTTTATGTTGTTTTAAAGACCCTAGCGCTATGTAATATTTTAATAATCTACTATACTGATACTTTTTTTATATTCGTGTTTTGAATATATGGTCCGGCCTAATGAGAGTTTATTTTAATAAATATATTATAAGCGAGCCTTCAAATTTCTAATAAAAAAGTCCAAGTACTTATGCATATATTTCTCATAAGACCGTACTAAAGTTTATTATATAAAGCGTTGCTATTACTTCTTTAGTAATAAACATAAAAGATAGTAGTGATAAATAAGGTGTACTTATAAATTATAATTTAATATTTGTATAATATTAATTTGTTATTTCATTTAAACAATTATAAAATAGTACCTATAAAATGCGTGCTTTTGCCTATACAATTTATAATCTATATACTTTTAAAGTAGTAAAGCTCTCGCTGTTTTTATTTTCGTATTTCTATATGAAGACATAGTAAGTCAATGAATAATGTACGCGTAGGTCACAAGTGTAAAACGTAACTTTATTACTATCACAAATGTACCCCAATCATCCTTATTGGATGGAACTTGAGCTTATTTTGTTATTCAATTGAAACTTGCTATGGAATTCTCATGTGAATATTCACTTCTATAATAGGATGGCTTGTGCCATATGCTACCTATTAGCAAAGCTTTGATCCGTAGCAAACTTAGTATTAACCTGATAGTGTGGAACTTACACTTTGAGCAATGTCAGACAACTTCTAATAATGCTTTTGTGTATTGATTAGTTTATAATTTTATATACAAATTACAAACATATTTATTACATATAAAAATAAATGATTAGGAATAATGAAGCACCTATATATTCTATATTAATAGCCTGTAAAAAAATATATTCATAAAGTAAATGTCGATCGCTTGAAATGACGATTTATTCTATTTTTCGTAATGAAATATAATACTGAAGCTTTGAAACTAAATGATATCGTGATTGATGATATGAAATTTTAATTTTATGACTCATGTGGTCAGATATAGATAGGGATCTTTTGATGTCCGCTTCTGAATATATATTATATTTCCTACGAAAATGACACTCTTTGATACAACATGACGAAGCTAATTCGTTGCTATAGCAGTGCGATACGATTCGTTTCAAATAAAAATATTTTAATTACAACTAAGAACATTCACATTTCAACAATAGTACGTTATATTACTAATTTAGAAGGCAAAATTTTAGAATTATACTTTTCATATTTTATAAGCTTTAGAATTTTTTCATTTCATGATGTTCCATTGTAGACGAAATAGCCTAGCTGCTTCAGAAAATTAAACAAAATCGTAGACTAACTGTATTGACCTTTCCTGTGCCTGTAAATGCCTTCGCAATGCCATCGAAGAGCACAAACACTGTTGTATTTACTCAAAGATTGACTTCTATATGATTGCTTTTACTATTTGTTGCTACGATAAATTTTTCCTGGAAATTCATTTGTTTCAATTTTTGCAGGCACTTTATTGTATCTGGAAGTTATTTTTGCTATTTTTAAGTGATTTCGAGATATTATGGTACAATATTATCTTCATAGAATGTGAACGTATTTAAATAAGAATATATTAAATGATGTATAGGATAAAAGATTTATATATCGTCTTGAAGTTTTACTTTGTATTTATAGTCGTCACTATAAATACAAAGTAAAACTTGCAATTTTTAATTGTCTCAAATGTACGAGTTATAAAATAATTTCGAACATCATTAAGTATTTAATACCAGCAAGTATTATTTTCTTCCTATTTATCTACGCTTACAAGTATTAAATGTTTAATTTTAATTAATCGGAGTCAAATTAACGCTTCGATACCTCTTGGATTCAAATTTCCTTTAAATCTGTTTTCCCAATATTGTACATACATATACCTATATAATATATATACTGTTATCTGAAAATTTGTTGCTATAAAATTTTAGGCAATGAATTGTTTAGAAAAAAATGTTTTATATAGTTCCTATAGTATTTGTAATGATAACTATATGGAGGTGATGGAACGGGGTGAACTAGACCCGTCTTTGATCCGCCAAGCGGCAAATTGGTCGACGATGCGACTCGGCGCCACCTGTATACACTATGCTTAACATTAAATTTTTGCTAACCACTCACCAAAATTTATATTTAAGTATATGACTTAGTAAGTATTCATATAAAAGTTAAGAAATAATAATAAACAGTAAGAAAGATTGACAACATACATTATTTATAATACTCGTATGTTATATAGGTATAAATTTTATATGGTAATATGTACCTACGCAATTATATATACCTAATATATATTATTATTCTTATTTTGGCAAGAAATTTTGGGGTAGTGATGCTTATCATAAAGAAAAACCTCTCGTATATTATTTTGATAACAAATGATTTGCCTACGTCTACAATATATTACTAAGTTATATAAGAAATATCGGGGGGCACGGAGTGCCCCCGCCAAGTCGAGCAAAAAAGGGCACGACAGTACCATCCTTTTCTCGAAGCGATTCAGAGCATTTTCCACCCCCCCATAACTTCGTTATGGATAAAGCTAGAAGCCTGAATTTTCAGTGACTACAAGAACATAATAAAACTAGGTATATTTCCAAATTACATTCAATTTGAACCTGTAGTTTAAGAACTGTTGCAGATCAAAATTCGTTAATATCGTCACTCACACACTCACTCACTCACCGATCATCAAAATTCTAAGGTACTTCTAGCAGACATAGGAGCTTCAAATTTTGAACACAATTAGTATTTAGCCTAAAACGCAAGGAAAAACTCAAACATCATGCAATTTCAATCCTGTTTTCGAGATATACAAACTGCATAAGTAACTTTGTATTCCTATACAAATAGATATGCGATATATGGGATTACAAAGTTATTTTTGCAGTTCATACATATCATTTTTCGTCACTTTAAACTACCCAAATAATGTATAGCTGGGTAAATCGGGGGGCACAAAATAGTGGATATACTGTAAGTGTTAGTGAGGACTAAAATGTAATAATGAACATTGTAAATAGTTTTAAGAAATAATATATTTAATATATAAATTAAAACTTATATGTGTAAAAGATCTTAAATATAAAAAAATATATACAAGTAATCGAACACTCGTGTGTCAAATATAAATTTCGTTTAAAAATGATAAAATATTTTAATTAAATTTACACTATTTTTTCCTTCCTATATTTAAATTAAATATTGTTTTTTCATTTCCCGATATCTTACTTTTATTTTTTTCACCTCATTCATTTATTCTTATAAAATTTATAATTAATGGTAAATTAATTATACAATAGTTGCACTGTAAAAGGGGGTTAGGTTAGTGTTTTACCTGTAGGTATGTATGTTTGTACGTCCGATCCTATGTTCCCTCGTAATTACTAACCTAATTTCGATTGGTCTATTAATGTTTATATTTGCAATTATATGTATTAGAAAAGTATTTTTTAAATGCGAAAATAATATTTAAAGCTTTTTTAGTAGCTGTATACATTTTTATGCATATACAAATGGGTACATAAATGTAATGTGAAGCGTGTATAGTTTATACCTACTAATATTCGATTACTGTTATTTATAATGAATTGATTAAAATATATACCTAATTAAGAAACAACTTGACGATTACTTAATTTTGAAACCAAAGCTCGTACATTTTCTTTTACAAAGTATGATGTTGATATGAATTAGAAAACCTTGTCAACATCTCATTGCTCGTAATTGTACCCACCTATTAGAACATGGAATATAGAGGTCATGAAATATCAATCTCTTCGAAAATTACTTTTAAAATCGAATGGAATACAACTTTCGGGATTTAACTACGATGCTGCAGATAGACACATAAATCTACACGTCTTATTAAACTTATGTAAGCCGAATATCAGTATTGGGGTAGGTATTTAGGGTCAACAATGAAATTAAAATATTCGTTAAATTAACTATACATATTTATACTTAATGCATAAGATAGAAGTATTAAAGTCCAGGAGTCCGTAATTTCCCAATACAATAGACTTAGATTTTTTGTCATCCAGACTTGTCAACATTTGTTACCTATATCAAAGCCTCTGAAAAAAGCCCACAGAGACAAGGAGTGGGCTTTTAAAAAGTCCTTAGCTGACACACAAGAAATAGTACAAGAAAAGGGAAAAAGAAGAAATATTTACAAAAAGAAATGAGATCCCATCAAAAACATACTGTAAAAATATTGCAAGTCTCGCAACGCATTTCTTCTAGCGCAAAAAGCTATGAGATGTAATGTAAAACCAAGTCGGTTAATTTATTCATTACCTATCTATGGAAGCATCTATCCGACAACTTTGTCATA